GCCTGTACGGCACAACAAGCCAGCCAGCACACCTCTTTTGACTATGCGTCTGTTCTGTGGGTTCTCTTCCTCTGGAGAACACTAAGGAATGCAAAGGTCAAAGTTTTTCTTACCCCTTTGGTGTTTCAGTATTTTTCGTGGAAAACTCTTATGAAGGAAAGCATTTAACTGGGGACTGGCTTACAGTTTCCAGAGGTGTAGTCCATTATCATCGTGGCAGAGAACATGGTGGCATGCAGACAGATGTTGGAGTGGTAACTGATCCATAGGCAGAAAAAAGAGTACCTAGGCCTGGCATAGGCTTTTGAAACCTCAAAATCTACCCCCCCCCCCAGTGACACACTTCCTCTTCCAAGGCCACAGATACTCCAATAGGGCCACACCTTCTATTCTTTCAAATATTGCTACTCCCAGGTGACTAAGCATTCAGATATGAGCCAATGGGGGCCATTCTTATTCAAAGTATCACATTGGATAAACACAAGCCTGAATTCAGCATTCCTGAGGAATCTCCTAAGGCCATTTTCTGTTCATCAGGACCTTCCTTAATCATATCCCAAAGCCAACAACCTCAGACAAGGGCATCTAGTCCTGGTCAATCTAAACAGTGGGTATCAGCTCGAAGACCCCCACCCTGCTGACTATCACCCAAAATCCACTGGCTTTCCTGCCATTTTGCTTCTCTGCTCCTGCCCCACCCTTGACAATAGCTCTGGTGATTTGATGCCCAGTAAGCCTTTCTTCCTAACCATGGGATGGCTCAGTTTGGTGGTTGCACGGCATTACCATGTACACTGCTAAGACTTTGATTTTAGTTCCTTGAATTTAGTTCAGGTTTGCATTTGGGCAAAGAAAACACAGTTTGTGGGGGGTGTTTAACAGTAATATAGAAAGCTAATGTGGATTTTAAAATATAATCCTTTTTTTTTTTTTTTTTTTTTTTAAAAAAGGTGATTTTCAACCAAACTGTCTAAAAGAAATGGGTGGCACTTTGAACTGCTATGGACAAGTTTCTTGCTACATACTGACTCAACAATGCAAACTTTTTAAAAAGTAAAACATTAGCTGGGGAGGTGGCTCAAATGGGAAAATGCTTACTGTGTGGGCATAGGCTTCTGAATTAGATGCCCAGCCCCTGCACCCACAAAGAAAAGCCAGCTGCACGGGCACACGCCTGTCTCTAATCCTAGTGTCGAGGGTCCCTGGGACTTGCCAGCCAGCCAGCTAAAGCAGTGAGCCCCAGGCTCAATAGAGGAGACCCTGTGTCAAAAAAGGCAGAGGATGACTCAAGACTCCAGTGTTGACCTCCACATGTGCACCAGCACATACCTGTACACCCACACACACATACACACATCATACAATCTCTCTCCCAAAGTCACAAAACCAATCAACCTCAATACCCTCACTTGCAAGTGTTTAAATCGTGATTTTCAAATTTACAAGTTCTTTCCCCATGGGGGGGAAAAAAAAAAACTGAAACACCAAAGGGGTAAGAAAAACCTTGACCTTCGCATTCCTTAGTGTTCTACAGAGGAACAGTTGAAATTTTTAAATTAAATATTTGCCTTAGAAGAGTTGTCATGGTCATGGTGTCTCTTCACAGCAATAGAAACCCTAACTAAGACAATTAGGCTATTTGAAGTAGGAGGAACCACCCAAAATGTCTGTCCATAGAATGGACAGACACATAGTCAGAAGTAATGTGTTGGCTGAGCAGGTCAGCGATGGCTGCTTCCTGGGGGAGAGGTTAAGAACTGGGGGTTGCATAGTACACACGGCTGGACACCTCAGCAGTCCCAACGTGGAACTGAAGGCCTGGAAGGCATCTGAAGAGCTGCTTGTTTTCATTATGTATTGGAAGTCTGCAGAACATACCAGCACAGGAGAAGCTAGACATGAAGGTAAACAGGAAGGTTTCTCCCGTAGCCCTCTTTGCACCTGGCTGTGAACAGAAGGTGCCACCTACATTTTGGGTGCTTCCTCCACCTGACTGTCTTTTTAGGGGTTCTATTGCTGTGAAGAGACACTATGACCACAGCAACTCTTATAAGGAAAGACATTTAATTGGGGAGTCTCGCTTACAATTTCAGAGGTTCGGTCCATTATCATCATGGCAGGGAGCACGGCAGCGTGCAGGCAGATGTGGTGATGGATCTGAGAGTGCTACAGCTTACAGGCAACAGGAAATAGTCTGAGGGTCACACTGAGTAAAGCTTGAGCAAAAGACACCTTAAAGCCTGCCCCCACAGTGACATACTTCCCCCCAACAGGGCCATATCTACTCTAACAAGGCCACACCTCCTAACAGTGCCACGCTCTATGAGATTCTGGGGGCAATTACATTCAAACTACCGCTTTTCACTCCTTGGCTCCCATACGTTTGTAACATTGTCTCATAATGCAAAATGCATTTAGTCCAACTTCAAAAGTCCCCATAGTCTATAACATTCTCAAACTTATTTAAAAATCTAAAGTTCAAAGTCTTTTCCAAGATTCATTCGTCTCTTAACTGTAACCCACTATAAAACCAAAATAAAAAAAGCAGATCACATACTTCCAACATAAAATGACACAGGATATACATTACCATTCCATAAGGTAGAGAAGAGAGCACAGTGGAGAAATAACTGGACTAAAGCAAGACTAAAAACCAGCTGGGCAAACTCCAAACTCTGCATCTCCATGTCTGAGGTCAAAACGCTCTTCAGATCTCAACTGCTTTTGGCATTGTTAACTGCAACACATTTCTTCCTCTTGGGCTGGTTCACGCCGTTTGTTAGCAGCTCTCCTAGACCTGTTTAGGCCTATATTCAGGGACAAGCCTGACACATGCCTGGCCTCAGAGGCTTTCCTTAGGCACAGAGGCAAATTCTATAACCTGTTTCATTTATCATTAACTCTAAAGCCAGAACCACATGGCCAAAGCTGCCAAAGTCTGCTGGTTGTTCCAGGGGGCTGGAGCACAGGCACCTTGTTTGGTTACATCCTCACCAGCTTTTTGTCTTTCACTGCCTAAGACTGGCTGTCCTCAAACTGGATCTCTAGACCAGGCTTCCCTCGAAATCAGAGGTTCACTGCCTCCCTCTGCTTTCCTAGGGCTGGAATTAGAGGTGTGCCCACCATAGCAGGCTCTAAGCTTTTCTTTAGTCTCTTTTCACAAGTTGGACATTTAGCTGAGGTTACCAGTCCCTCTAGTCCATTTCTCAATCCACGTATCTCCTTGAACACAGGACTTAGCCCCACTCCACTTCCTGGTACTCATTTTCTCCTCAAAACTTACATTTTGTAATTTATCCTGCTCAGCTTTCTCCTTTTCATTATAAATCTTCATTAGAGAGATCACTAAAAACCACAGGACAGAGTCTATACTAGGCTACTATGAGGTTTACTCTGCCAACAGAATTAATCCAAAACTCTTCACTTTAGCCTCAGGCAGAGTCTTAGGACAAGGGCAAAAGGCAGCCAATTTACTCACCAAAATATCACAAGAATGATCTCTAGGCAACATACTAAAATTGTTCTTCTCTGAAACCTCTTGACTGAGCCCCCATCAGTTCAAGTAACTCTTATCACCACTGTCTTCCATGTTCCTACTGTTATGGCCCAATAAGCAGTGCTTAAAGCCTTCTAATGCTTTTCTAACCCAAAGTACCAAAATCCAAATTCCTCCAAACCAAAACATGGTCTGGCCTACCACAATAACGCCCCACTCCTGGTACCAACTTCTGTCTTACGGTTTCTATTGCTGTGAAGAGACACACCATGGCCATGCAACTCTTATAAGGAAAACATTTAATTGAGGGGACTTGCTTACCATTACAGAGGTAAAGCCCACTCCTCTCATCCCAACACATCTCTTACTGAGCCTCAGAGCACTGACTGTCTCAAATAATCTTTGAGTTTTTCCGACCCTGCCCTGCTTCTGGGAGGCAGCAGTATATCAGGAAGGCATCTTATCCTTTGCTGGGTCTGCCTGTCTGTCCTGTCCACAGCCCCAGAGACAGCTCCCAGCCCCAAGAAGCTCCTTAGAGAAAATTGAAGACAATGAAAACTAGTTTCTTTATTCTAGTCTTAAGGTTAAAGATAATGTTCCAGTAAAAGTGAAAATTTTTGTTTTGTGTGTATAAGAGAACAACAACAAAAACAAAAAGTACTATGTTTTCTCACTTTCCTGGTGGGAAATTGAGGTAATGAACACAAAAGACTGAATCAGAAAAGCAGTTCTGAGGCAGCACTAATATGTAATGCCTCTCATTCTAGAAGCCAGTATGAATTAATGCTCTTCCTCTGCCCCAAGATGATGTTGTTGTTGGATATACGTAACAGAAAATTCACCATTTTAAACCATTTTAACTGTACCTGTTTAGTTCATGGCACTGTTTGTTCATGGTGCTGTGTAACCAGTATCCACCTGCCATCCAAAACAAGAACTCTATGCTATTCTACACCCTCCTCTCCTTCCTCTCAGCCAAGATGCTACTGTTATGCTGCCAATCACTATGGCTATCCTTGGGCCCTCATAGGCAGAGCAGCCAGCATTTACCTGGCTTAATCCACTTAGCACAATGATTTCAAACCTCACCCTTGCAGCATGTATGGTTTCCATTCTTATCTAAGATAGGGTGTATTCTGTTGCTTGGATGTACCTTTGTTCATCATCTGCCAGTAAATATGTGTGCTATTTTTGTGAATAATGACAGGTATGCAGGTGTTAAGGTATCTAAGTCCTTGTCTTTAATTTTTCTAGAAGCAAAATTAAAAATAAATGAACATTATTCAGTCTTGGAGGGTCTGATGTAGTGCTGACTAGATAACTCCCAGAACTCCTTGCCCAGAAAGCTTTGCCTTACCAACAGGGCAGCTATGAGCTTATAGGACATCTGTTTCCCTTCAGGCCCACACTCAACCACAGGAAAGGGGATAAGCTCTAGCAAAGAATAGCACCACTCTACTGAAAAGTTGCCCCAACCTGAGTCTCCAACAAAGACAACGTAGAATATAAAAATAAGAAACTTTTATTAAAGTTGAAAATGTTTCCAAAGTTTATAATTAGCGATACATACTGCCACCCCAGAGGAGGCTTCTAACATGAGTGACAAGCAGACAAACTGCTTTGCCACTAGCACCCAACTCCCCTAAGTACTAGTGCTGAGGGGAACCCACATTCTGGAAAGAAGAGCCCCACTTCCCAGCAGAGGGGCAAGGACAATTGCCACCATAAGGACAACAGAAAACAGCACCTTTCCTGGAGTGCCTCCATCAGGGAGGTGATTTCCTGCTAGGCAGGCTTTTCTTACCAGCCTTTATCTTACTGGCTTCAGTCAGGGGCAGCCTACAAGGTTCTCTTCAAAAACACTGACTGCCAGAGACACTGCTGGATTAAGTCAGATTCTGTGCAGCATCCCCAGGAGTTTGATGCTTGCACAGTAGCCACAGCTGCGCCCTTCCTCAATGGTGGAAGTTATGATCCTAGGATGCCAAGTTGCCGGCGCTCATTTATGAAGGGTTCAAAAAACAAGCACCCAGATTTTAAAAAACAAAAACAAACAAACAACACATTTATTTTTTTATATAAAAGTGCCAAAATATCCACCAATGTTGTACTCTATCTCAACAACCAGTTTACGCTAGGAATCAAAACACAAGGCCCTTTATTCACATTGCTCCAGACTCAAATCCCTCACGCGTTCCCACAGTAGCTGGAATCCCTGGACAGGGGGAAGTTTGCATTGCGATTTGCTGTGCTAGTCCATATGTCCAGGTTCATGTAGGCACGGAACGGGTTAAACCCTGGGTAGTACTCCTTGCACATGACCTGGTTTTCCATGTGGGTCGAATGTTCTGTGGCAGGACTCATGGGGCAGCAATTTTCATACACGTCGCTTTGTGGGGCCCAGATGGAACCAAAAAGTCCAGACATGGGAGACAAACTTCGGGTGCTGGTGAGGTAGGACTGATGTGGGAATGAGGAAAGAAAAAAGAGCAAAAGTTTACAAACTGACAAAGGGCTTTCAAGATGTAACACTACAACTATCATGACATCCCAGGGGATACAGCCATGCCGTGTCTACCCAGCTACCTGAGAGCTGTTCAACTGTCCCAAACATTCTGGGCTGTTTTCAGAGATTATGAAACTTTCGTGTAATTGAACAAGTCCAGAGGACTCAGCCAAAAATCCTTCACGGGGAAAAAAATGTGGCATGGACATGAGAAGGAATGGTACTGGGTAATCCCGACTGACCTGTGGAACTTCCGTTTCACCTGCAGCCATCTGTGGAGGCCACATAAGGCCTGTGTCACAGACTTCCTGCCCTGTCTGCAGGTCCCCGCCAACTGTCTACACATGACATCCTTCGTGACGCGGCCACTGCGTGAACAGCCCACCCGCTCTGCCCGATGGGAACTCACCGCTGAAGGGAGCAGGGAACAAGAGTAAGGAAGCTCTAAGGAGAGAAGGGAAGCAACACTCACCGGAGAGTTGACGAAACCGGCATGCTCCCAGGCAGACGGGGTGCTGGCTGGAGTGTTCCAGGTAGAGTGAGCGCTGTGGCCAAGGAAGTCCGTTTGAACTTTTGAGGGGCAGGGGAAGCCATTGGCGTAATTCATGTTTTCTGTGAGGAATGGGAAGAGGACCTTGTTCATGGATGAAAAGCCTTCTGGGATTTACTGTACTGGGCAGTGAAAGGAAGCCCTAACATGGGAGTCTCATGTGCTTCCCTGCCAGTCGGCAGGTTAAGACACCACCGGGCAGGGCTAATGTGTCTGAACTTGTTCATTTCATGGGGATATTTCTAATGCACAAAATTTACTTAGAGCATTGCTATACAGGTAAACAGTCCAAAATTCTTACCCACCCGCAATGCCCACCAACACACTCAGTGCTAGTGATGGAACTCCAGGGTCTCATGCAAAAGACTCTTGGCTATACCACCTAGCTATGTTCCTTTCCATTTTGTTAATTACCTGTCCCTCCAACCTCAGCAACCTGCATATGTACCACATGGCCTGATAAAGTCATTGTAAACCAAGTACTTCCAGATATCACCAAAAAAATGAGACATAAAAACCTCACAATCTTGGGGAGAAAGTTACCAAAGTGCCCTCTTATGGTAAGTTTGCAGCAATGCATGTGTCAGAATCAAGAACACTGGACACAGGATTTCCTCAGTCCTTGTTGGGCAAGGTAGTGCTAGCATAAGAAATCCTGAACCAACTGTATCTGCAGTTTCCAGATGGTCACGGAAATTCCTGACTCTTAAGTTACTGATTATGGCATATGATTTGAAGCTTAGCATCTGTTAGGATCCACTAGTCCTGCTCTAGGCTCCTTTCCCTCCTTTTGCTGGGCTTCCCACACCCCTGGGGCAGAGTCAGGGCATTATGAAGAGTTAGTGCCCCAGCTGCCCAATTGATAAGCCAACCTGCTAGGGCTACAGGGATAGAAGCGACTCAGTTCTACCTAGCTGACAGGACTAAGTGGGGTAAGGTCCCACACGGAAGCCCCCAGATACCAGACTGAGGGCTGCTGAGGCGTCATTCAAAATTGCCTCTTTTGGTGTGCACAAGTAGACCCAAGCAGCAGCCTGCGGAAGGGTCTCCTCGTCTGTTAACTGTGAGTTGCTACAGTAAGTGCACACATCCCTTGCTTTGACTCTAAGAAGGAAACAGTGCCTCTGGCAGTGGTCAAGCACTTTACCTTCCGGAACGGTGTTGTAATCGTTCAGTTCCAGCGGACAGTACACACTGGGAAACTGGCCTTCACAGGATGCACTCCAATCAATGAAACGGCTACAGAAAACAATCAAACGAAAACAAGGTCTAGTTTCAAGACAGGACAGGCTTTACTGCCTACATTTTCATCTGCAAATCCCCCAATTTAGGGAAATAAATAATGTATTTTGTCAAGTCAAAGCCAAGTTTATTTTCTCATCAATGACAATCCACCTGCAGGAGTTGGCTGGGTCAAGGGCAAGCTGCCTTCCTGACTGCACAGACAGCTGTATCGGCACCATGGAATGACAAGGGGATACCTCAGTGTCTCAGTACATACCCAAATGGTTTCACCTATTAGTTCTGCCAATGAAATGCCCAGCTATCCTTCAGAACACAAGCAACATTCAGCTTGGAAACATTACCACTCTAGCCTGGGACTGGTACACTGAGCACTACAGACTGGATGCTCATTACAGAAATAAGGCAGGGATACTACTGCCACGAGTAAAACCCGGTCTTCAAGTGCATCCCACAACAAGAGACGTCATGTTTGCCAAGTCTCCTGACTGAATGACATACTATTAATTTTCTGACACCAGGCTCTCTGATCAATTTAGTTTGTAAATGTAAATGGAGGTGCCTTGGCCCTGCCTCAATGAGATGATGGGACAGACTTAGTAGACTTCCTAGGGGAGGCCTTACACTCTCCGAGGACCAGATGGGGGAGGAATAAGGGGAGCGGGAGGAGAGGAGGGAGGGGGAACTGGGACTGCAATGTAAAAAATTAACACGAGCATTCTCAAACGTGTTCCCGTATGAAACCACCCTTTCCACCTACAGAGGGTCTGAAGGGGCTGCCAGCTTTACTGATCTGACTTCATGTTTCTCACAGCGGCTGTGTTGTTTAGCAGCACACTGTAACTCCAGAAGGCAGAAAGCACACAGTTCCAAGGCACAGTCCTTGTATCCATGAGAAAGACCTAACAGCTCCAGCTGCAGGGCCTGAGGCCAAGCAGAGCTGTGTCAGAGCAGTGGGGCCTACCTGTCAGGGAGGGAGGCAGGCTCCTGCGACACACCCGGTGCACTGTTCTCCGCTGGACAGTTGAAGCTACTGGTCAGACACACGGGCTGGGAAGGCCATAGGCCTCCAGGTGGATACAGACCTGAGGAGAACAAGGAGGGATGCACAACGTGGCTGACTCCATTAGGCAATTTTAAGTGGGTGGTCCAGGCCTCGCTGGGGGAACACTGGAAATGTGACTGATGACGGGGGATGAGTTGTACGCGTCTGGGACTCTCCTGCTAGGCTGGAAAGAGTCTGTGAGTGACTAAATGGTGGGAGGGAGGGACTAGAGGCTGACTGCGATTGGCACTGTGCCTTGGCGAGAAAGCCCTGGATGGTGAACTCTGGGAGTGCTGGTCACAAGTCCGCATGGGTACGCCCGTTTTTGAGCATCTTGCCAGCAGCAGTGCTAGGGGCCTATTCTGGACTATCTTTCCATGGACACTTACTGAGCCAAAGCCTTGGGGCATAGGGCCTCCTGCAGAGTAACAGACAGACATGTCTGCTCCTGGAGAGAAGACTTGGATCCCCAGGCTCAAGGTTCCCCTCCTGAGGTGTCTGTACACCTGGCACTGAAGGGGACAGATATAATAAAGCTCACACTGATGCAGCCGGCACAGCCCTAAGTCTAAGACAAAACAGCAGCCATTCCTCTGGGGAAACCTGGGCCCCTTGTCACATAAGCTCCCAATTTAGAAGGACTGTGCCTTTACTGCCAAGCCATCTCTGCACTGCATATAACATGTCTAGCTTTCACAGCCAGCAGAAGGAAATTGCTTCTGATACAGGGCCATGCCAGATAGGGGGCTCTGCCACACCACACAGGGCATGGCCGATATCCACCTGTGGCTGCACCACTAAGACACGGCAGGCTCTGGAGGACAATTCTTCCCACCCATTGTTAAGACTTGGGTTTCCTAAGACCATTGAGTCCATTGGGTCTATCCTACCTCTGGGTAATGGAGGAAAAACTGACAGAATGCTGCTCTTGTCCCTGGCTGTACTGCGAGTCTTGTCTCAGGGGCTTCTAGGCCCTGACAGCCATGTGATCCCATTTGTGCTTAATGCATAATGGAACACAGTAAAGGGGGACAGCAGAAGCAGGATGCCTGCCAGGAAGTGACTGAGGCAAGGGTTAATAAGGAGTGAGACTACGGGAGCAGGGTAGTCAGGGAGGAGGTGGTGAGCAAGCTGTCACACTCTACAGAGACTGAGAAGGCCAGGGGGACCAGAATAAGACCAGGGTCCTGTGTGCCACAAGAAAGAAAAAGGCCCAGGTTGTCTCAGGGGGTTGGGGCCTAGTTAATAAGAGGGAATGAAAAACTGAGAAGTTGGTGTACAGAAGCTGCTAGAGCTCCAAGCAAAAGTGGTAAAACAGAAGTTGACTGTAAGATGCGTCCAAGGTTCAGGAGAGGCCCAAGCTGAAGATACGAATCTGAAAGGTGTCAGAATTTAAGGTGAGACTTGAAGTTTTCAATGTGGAAGCCAATGGCAGGAAAGAAAGATGTGCAGACACCAAGTCTCAGGCTCTGAGAACCAGGGTCACACTCGGGTGATAAGGAACTGACTCAGGGACCCACGGCTGAAACAGGACTGCAGACAAAAGGGACTAAGCGTGGGACAATGTGGAAATGCCAGAGACCTGACTCCTGCTTCAGGGAAGTGGAGGTAGCAAAGTCAGACTGCAGAGCAGAGGGGACTGCCAACCACTAGCACAGATTCTCTAAGGGGGCTTCCAGGACAGGAGCTAAGAAACCTAACAATGGCAGGGAAGAGTGCCCTAGGGCAGCGTATGTCTGCTGCTACCATGTGGAGATGGGGGAGTCACAGCACACTTGTGTATGGATGGGAAGGACTCAGTAGAAAAACTGATGGTGGAGGAGGGTGGGGAGTGGGTAGGAGTCTCCCTGGGGAGAAACAGACGATCTTCCATGGTGAGCCAGTATGAGTGGGGGGAATTTCTGAAGGTCTGAAGTAGGTGTTATCTTTTGTAGAAAGAAGGAAGCAAGATCAACTAGAATGAGGCAGAAGGCAGCTAGGCCAGAAGGACCAGATGCACTGTGAGCAGTTGGGGATACAAGGCCTGGCCAACAGGTGTGTGCTGTTCCTCAGAAGAGGTGGGGCGAGGCAGGACTAACACCGCCACCATGAGCTTTGCAAGGTGAAGCCAGTTACATACCGATGGCAAGGAAATTGCTTCCCAGGGATCAGGCCTTTCTGCAGGACCAGGACAAATCAGAGAGGTGAGGAACAGTAAAACGGGCAGGATGATGTTCATACACACTAGACCAGGAGACATGATTTCCTTACAACTTTAGGACATAGCCAAGGAATGCAAAAGGTGATTTATAAAAAAAAAAAAAAAACTAATTGCAGATTCGTGCTAAGTTCCAGGTAAAGCAGCTGAAACCCACACATAAACCCAGACTAGGACAGCAGATTTTGTGAAAACCCTAAGAAATGAAACAAAAGCAGAGTAACATACACTGAGATCCAGCTTTTGGTGGTGGGGATAGAATCCAGAGCCTTGAACATGCCAAGCTGTGTTCTTCTACCAAGCTGTGACAGCCTTGGATATTTGAAGTTTGTTGCTATTTCTTAACTGCTCCCTGGCATTAATTAAACCCTACCCTCTATTAGCTCACAGAACTGACAGAGGAACCAGTTAAACTTTTCTCAAACTCTAGCTTGGCAAAGTAGAAAAGATAGAATTTTGCATCTTCTTCCATTGGAAACATTGTGTTGTATGGAATAATGACTTCGTCCAACTCAGGAACAATCAGTTTCCATAAATGATCTGACTAGCTGACAACACATCTGTGAGACAGTACAGTGCCTTGAGCTTCCTCCCAATTCTCCAATGGATAGAACAGCTTTTGCCTTGCTGTATAGCTCAGGCTGACCTGGAACTCTCCACCTCCATCTGAGTAGCGTTTTGTTTGTCACAAATTTCTAGGCACAGAAATGAATATGCATGCAAAAGCTAATGCTACCATGAAGAGTAAACACCAGGCATGTCCTTCCATGATTTCTGATTTTGAAGAAGTCCCATAATAAAACATGTCACCAGCGGAAAGACAGACAGAGAGAGAGAGAGACAGAGAGAGAGAGAGACAGAGAGAGAGAGAGAGAGAGAGAGAGAGAGAGAGAGAGAGAGAGAGCGCGCTAAGAGGAAGAGAATGGAGAAGCTGGGAACAGAAAGATGGTGAGGAGTGTGGTGGAAGGGCCCCTATGGACTCATGTGTTTGAATGCTGGACCATAGGGAGTGGCACTGTTAGGGGCTGTGGCCTTGTTGGAGGAAATGTGTCACTGTGGGGGAGGGCTCTGAGGTCTCATATATGCTCAAGCCACTCCCAGTGACACAGTTGCTTCTGCTGCCCACGGATCAAGATATAGAACTCTCAGCGCCTTCTCCAGCATAAGCCAGCTCTGATTAAACGTTTTCCTTTATAAGAGTCACCGTGGTCAACTTGCTGTCTCTTCACAGCAATAGAAACCCTAACAAAACAAGGAGAGGGACTCCTCATTAGAGATCCAGGCAGAAGCAGGGGTCCTCCGCTCTGGGGCCAGTGTCTTACATATTCTCTGTCTCAATCCTGGTTGAGAAGCCAAGCTGTTCACCCAGGCTGCAGGGGCCCAGTTAACGGGCTCCCACCTGGTGGCTTGGGGAGACGGGTCAGGTGAGGACAGAAAGCCACTGTCCTGGCTTGCTTCCCACCTCAGTCTTGCTCCTCTTGGGCTACACACCTGCTTGTTTTCTGTTACCCTACTGGGGAAGTGAGTGGAGCGCAGTGGGAGGCTCTGGCAAGGGCTGTGTAATGTCTGTCTGTGTCTTGGCTCCCAAGAGTGTTCACAATGATGCAGAATGGGTGGCTGCAGTGGATGTGTCTCTCCACAGAGCAGGTGCCCTCCTAATGCCAGCAAACATGGTCCAGGAGAGGCTGGTGCCTGCCATAGTGATACTCACCTTTCTCTTCTCCAGCATCTGCGGGTGCAGCAGGAAGACCGGGACAGGAGGACTCTGTGAACTCAGACAGGCTGCTCACATCTCTGCGGACAAAGGGAGGACAGGAAGCCATGACTTCCCTGCACAAGGAAATCCAGGTACCACATAACCAAATCTCATTTGAGCTTCACAGAAGCCACTGCAGAAACAGAGGTGTTAAGATTCACAAAGCCAGGCGAGAATTGAGGACTTCCATAAGGTCAGCTGCAGCTTCCAATCTGTCTGTACAGACAGAAGCACCTTCTCTGCTGGTTGCCTTTCTGCCTCTGACAGTTCACAGAGAGCTTTCCAATGCTGTAGCCAAGCCTTCATACACTCACACAAGGCAAAACTCTGCCCTTCCTGCTGATGTTGCCCTATTCATTGTGAAAGGTACAGCTGGCCCTCAGCCATCTCAGGTTCCGTGTGAGTGGCCTGAAAATATCTGGAGGAAGCATTGCACAGCAGCTACCTTGTACTGTGGAATCAGACCTATAAAGGCCGGGTCTGTACCAAAAACCACATACATTTTCTCTTATCATTATTCCCTAAACAAGGTAGTCTGACATCAATTTACAAGTCAATTGTATTGCATTAACACTGGCAGTCATCTAGAGATGGTTTAACATATGTGGGAGGATCGGCATAAATAGTTCTATGAAAATATTGTCCTTTTGTTGTTATTTTGAGACAGGGTTTCACCACATAGTACTGGTTAGCCAGTCTAGTCCTTAGCACTACAAAGCCCAAGCTGTTCAATTTCATGGAAATCCTCCTGCCTAAGTACCAGGATTACAGGTACATCTCACTTGACATGTTATGTGAGGGGGCTGAGTATCTGTATGGTTGAGAGTATGTATCTGTGGGACACACACTTGGTATCTGTAGGAACCAACTGCCTACAGACACCAAGGGGCAACTGTATAATGCTGCAGGAAGTATCACACAGAGGAACTGTAAATGTGTTCACCAGTGCCTTGGAGGCTTTCTCAACCATTGGTGCTCAGACTGAATAGAAGTCCTAGCCCAGGAGAGATGAGAGGTGACACATTCCCCAGGGTGTCATAACGCTGGGGAGACAACAAAAGCAGAGAATCCCCACAGAAGCCCTGATCACGACCATTCTTTTGAGTTGTATGTAGTCAGATTTTGCTTCCCTAGGTCTTTACAAAGGCTTCCATGGTTCAGCCTAGAGAGCAAGGCGCTGAGAAGCACCTCACAGACAGACAAAGCAAATCCACACTGTGGCAGTGAGGACTCTGGACTTACGTAGGGCTGCACATGTGGTGAGAGAGGCTCGAGGGGATGGAAGCTTCCAGAGGAAAATCCTGGGAGGAAACACCATCTCCTGCATTAAAAGCAACACACTATTAGAGTCATCGTCTCAATTCAACTGTGCATGTTCTGGGTTGAGAACAAGCAGCAAGTGTTAGCCTGTAATGAGGGACTTGTTTTTCATATTAAACTGACAGCCACACATTCATATTCTCTTTATTGTGTATTTTGCACGTGTCAACATGTATGTGGAGGCCAAAGGTCAACATTGGGTGTCTTCCTCTGTCATTTCTATCTTAGTGTTTTAGACAGGGCCTACCCTTGAACACAGAACTAAGTCCATGAGCTCCAAAGATCTGTCCTTGCCCTGCCCTCCAAGCCATCACCACCCCTGGCTTTTCTATGGGTGCTGGGATCCAAGCTCAGGGATATTTTCCTGCCATGCCATAAACTTCAGACACAACGTGGAGAGTGTACCATGTTGCTGCTTTATTAATGGCATTTATTAATAGTTCTTTGAATGTCATCCCTTTTTCCCAAGCTGCCCTTTTATGTTTTCTCAAAGTTTAGTTTTCATTTCAAGTCCCATGTGTGTACCACTGACAAACTCTTGGTCCTTTGATAAACAGAGTACAAAATTAGTGTGTCAAATCCAAGCTGCCTCTAGCCATGAAAATCCTCCTTGTGCAACAAAATGCCAAAAGCCTGCCCCTTATCTAACGTTTCCATGAGGCTGTAACTTTCTCCAAGGAAGGGCCCGTCATGGAGGATGAGAACAATCTTACCTTTTACACCTAATGCATACCTCTAAACAAACATGCAGCACTGATCTGAGGATTGACACTTTAGGAGCACTGGGAAAACACTCACAGGGTAAATGGGGAACAAGACGGAAACAGAAAGAATGCTGAGGACCTGGGCCTTCTCTAGGGCTGGTGTCTCACAACCTTCTGCTCTTTTGGGCATTTGGATTTGGATTTGAGCCCTGAGCCTTGCACATGCTAAGCCACTGAGCTATACCACAGCCCCGCTTCTTGTTTTAGATTTTGAGACAAGGTCTTGACCCATGGCCTGAAAGTCATGATCCCAACCAACAGCTCCCAAGTGCCAGTGTTGGGCTTCCAGAGCTGGGTCCCCATACCTTTCTACCAGCTTCTGTTGTAGGTATCCCTAACGGGGAGGATTGGAGACAGGAGACAGTGGCAAGTACCCTGGACTTCTGAGAAACCTTGACCCAAACATGAACTTCCACCCAGCACACCACATACTGCAGGGCAATCAAGGATTGCTTTGAGCCCTCACACATACATCTAGACTGGGAGCAGAGACTCGTCTGCATTTTCTCAGGACTCATGACCCAAGGTGAATATGTCCACATCCACAGGGCAGCACATGATGAGCTTCTCTAAGTCTCTGCATTCCCCTTTCACTGTGTTGAAAACAACTCAACTGCTCACACAGGACTAGTAAAACAAGTTAGTGAAAACCAAAATGCTATTTTAAGCTAGAATTTCATTTATACAAGCACATGCATGCACACACGCACGCGCCCACACACATACCCCTATAGTAACAGATAAATGTAACAACAACAAAACAAAACTCCACAAGAGTAAATGTGGAAAAAAGTTGTTAATTCTGGGGGACAGGAATATAGACTCTGATCTCTCCTGTCATTAAAATTTCAAGAATGAGAAAGATAAGCATTATTCTTATTCATAATAGCCAAAAGGTAAACCCAACCAGTTACCCACTGATGAACACACCCAATAAACAAACACATTGAACATGCATAACAGAATGTCATTAATCCTTGATAAGGAAGGGAATTGATATGTTCTGTAATATAATAAGTCCTGAGGATATCAGGCTGGGTGAAATAAACCATTCACCAAAAGATCATATCTGACCACATAAAATAAACATGCATGATCCAAAACCATTTCTGTCCCACATACGATAATCATATGTGGGTCAAAATCATCCATGATGTGCATACAACCACCATACACAAGCTCCAATCCTATACTCCACAGAAGACATCCAGGCATGTCTACATTCATTCAGGACTTACTTATTTAAGATAACCAAGCAGCCAAATGCTTATGGCTAGAGAACAGGAGAAGGTAAGCAGAAGTTCCTATTTATGGGTACAGAGTTTCAGTAGGGAAGAATGGAAAGTTCTGGTGGTGGGGGGGGCTGTATAGCAATGTGAATGAACTGGCTTTGTGCCACCACTCAGAACATTTAAAAATGAATTAAAAAATAGTTCTGTGAAATATTTTGGCATGATAAAAAAAATTATGTACAAATATACAGGTCTTTGACCTGTTTAGTATCAGTAACAATAGTGACCAGGAGGATTGAGGAGGAGGAGAGGGAAGCGGGCAGCCTGTGGCAAGCCAAGCCTCAAAGCTGCAGCCCATTTGCTCTGTCCCCTGTAAGGTACCCCTGGACTGTGTGCTGGCTGCAGGTAGGATGAGCGCCCTGTACTCACCGGGTGGCACGAAGTGCTGGGCATCCACTACTGGTTTCCTGTCACAGTCAGAGCTGCTGCTACTCCAGCTGCCCCAGCTGCCCCGGCTGGCCCGCACGCTGCCTGAGGAGCTGCCACAGTCAGAGCTGGAGTCCGAGCAAAACTTGTCTGCACATTTCTTCTCAGACTTCTGGTAGTAACTGTCTGGAGAGGCAGAAGAGAGGCCGTGTTGCACCAAGGCAGTTCCCACTAGTGCCAGTTATGGCAAGTGGAGAAGGAAAATAGGAAGGCAGGGTAGGTTCATGGCTACCACCTCTGCTCAGCTAGTAAAAAATGGGACCTCAGGATTTGAGGAAACACAGGGTAAGTCTGCTCTGCCTGTGGACAGACAGTAGGACCAAGTAGAACCTTCATCTAAGAATGGCTCCAGGGCTCTGGAACTCAGTGGAGAAGTGCTTGCTTAGCATGCACATGGGATGTGAGCCTCAAAATGCAAAACAACTGAACTGCATGCAAATGGTTCAGAAAATAAGCAACATTTCTATCAAGAAAAGTGAGTCTATTGTACTGAATAGACTATTCTTTTCTACACTGGCTCTGGCACTGGTGTCCCAGCTCTCTGATCCAGAAACTACAGGGCTATACATGCAAAAGCTACCTGTTTACAAGTGGGACACCTCACTTACCTGGCTCTGCCCTTTCCCCAAGGAGCCCTGGCTAAGGCTCCTGGCCCTGCATACTGGCCCTGTTCCTTTGACAGTATGCACAATGACACTTGGGGGTGGACAGCATCCGTGCTCAGGTTCAGAAGAGCATGTGCTTTCTCATCTAACCCTGACAACTTTCTGTTGGAGTTGCTAACAGCTATGTGATCTGTAAACAGTCGACGTACTATTTCTTGAAACCTTGAGACTCTTAAAAAGAACAGATTGCAAGGAAACCATTCACGGGACTGTGCTACGTACCCTCCTCTCTCTGTGCAGGGGAGCTGTCTGACATCTCCACACCAGCTTTACACACCTCCCCAGTGCTGTCCTGTGCACACCAGCTTCTGATGCCATTGCTTGGATCTGGTCTCTCAAAGTCACTGCACACAAGCTTCAGTTCACTCTGTTCAGAAGGCCTGGGAGAGCCATAAGAAAGATCGCATGTCTACCTCATTACATAAATATACTTTCTGCTTGAGATTTGTCAGGTAAGAATTGCAATCTGGGACAAGTTGAGGTCTCCTCTCTGAGTCCCGTAGGAGGATGAAAAGCAAGTAAGGCCCCAAAAGATGTGGGAGATAGAGGTATTGCTCAGTGGTAGAAATAGGTTTAGCACACACAAGTCATAGGTTCAAATTATTATTATTATTATTATTATTATTATTATTATTATTATTATTATTATTATTATTATTTGCACTCCTATTAGCCCCAACAGGTTGCCAATTTGAATTAGAATGAATTTAGGGATGTTTGATCTAGCTTTATGTTTTATAAAGAGAAAAATAGATACCACAGCGTTGCTCAAGGTTGCCTGGCAGTCAGGAGCAGAGCCAAGGCTCCTGGCCCGTTTTCCTGGATTTTTAGTGGGTGAATCTGCTGTTTAGCAGTGGGAGGCCAGAGAGTTCATTTAAATATGTTCTTCCTCATTTGCAAACATTTGCTTAGCAATTACCATACCCAGCACAACGGCTGTGAAAACTCAGCAGCTTCCCTAGTCCTAACTTAAACCACACCTGTGCTACAGGGCCATGAACTCCTCAAGGAAATAATGACAACACACTTTTCTATGTAGAAATATGGAAATGCATGGGCTAGGAAGATTGCTCATTTGCTAAAGTGCTTGGTATGCAAGCATGGAGACCAGAGTTTGATCTCTACTATGCATGTAAAAAGCCAGACAAAGCAGCCTTAAAACCAGAACTGGAAAGGCAGAGATGGGAGGATCCCTGGGACTCACAGGCCAGGCAGATGAGCTAATCTATGTGCTCCAGGTTCAATGAGAAACAAACTCAAAATATAAGGTGAAGTGATTGAGGAAGATACCCAACATCTGCCTCTGGACTCCACATGTGTGCACACCCCCCCATACACACATTAGCATGTACTCCCACTGCATACCCCCATTTGCACACACACACACACACACACACACACACCAATAAAAATTTTTAAATTAAAGAAAAACGGTGGAAACACTGTGAATAATGACATGGTTCTCTGCATGGGCCATGGCAGTGCCTTTGTGAGGTGTGAGGTGGCAAGAAAGCAACCTAGACATGGGAGAGGCAGAGCGGGAAGTCACTGACTTCTGGTTGAGACAAAAAGTATGTGGACAGAAGCAAGCACCCAGAAACACAGTCCAGTGGCATCTGTCTGTGCCTCCCATGTTCTCATTTGTGGAAGGCTACAGATTACTCACAAGTTACTTGCAAGCAATTTAATCATTTGCTTGGATCTCAGACAAGTTTCCTAAGATGTAATCTATCTGTTTGTCAGAGCCCACAGAGGTAGCTCCCCTTCATATTGGCTTAAGGTCAGAAAGTTAAAAACTGTCCTTACTTTTTCAAGGTTTAAGTCATATGACTTAAAGGTCTAAGGCATAACTACTGTAGTATGTTTGGTCTTAGTTGTAAATGTCTTATCTAAATAACAAGAGACTTGATCTAAGGTGTGGTTACTCTTAACCTTCAAGGCCAGATAATGAGAGATTTAGGCATGATTACGAAATGTTTGGAGAATTAAGGAAGAAAGTCAGTTTGTCTATTGTATCACAATAAAGAAGTCTTTTGCTATTTCCCCCCTTTTGGTTGGGATATAGTAAAATGTTGGAGAATAAAACTTGAGGCATTCAGTATTCACTGGATTGCCCTCTTGACTATTCTGTGTCTCTATCTTTTCCTTAGTATCAACCAGCAAGTAGGCTGGATCTGACTGAAGCCCACCTAAGTTGGGCTCTTACAAATTGGCATCACAAGGTGGGGCTACTACAGATGGCAAATACTCATCTATCTATCTATCTTATCTATCTTATCTATCTATCTATCTATCTATCTATCTATCTATCTATCTATCTATCTATCTATCTTACTTTGCTGTGATCCCAGAGTCATGAAAACACATATAGGAGAATGCAGAAAGGCCTGATGTTTCCTCTATACAGGATATTGCACTCCAACTCTTTAATAAATATCAATAAATGATATGGTACATACCATGTTTACTTCCACTGTGCTAACTGTTCCTGTGAATTAGGTATAGAAGGAGCCAGAAAGCTACCCTGGAACTGTCACCTGTCTGTTTTACAGGAATATAGACTACACCCTGAAGAGCTATGACAATGCTGAACTATGGTCTCTGAGCTCGGTGGCATCTTCAGTGCTGAGCTCAGTGGCTGCCCACTTGGGTTCTAAACTCTGTAGCAGCCTTCCTGGGTGCACTGGGACCTTAGAATGCTCAACTATAGCACAGTGGAACCTCATTCCCACTAAGTATGCGAGAGCCAAGGACCCCAACAACAGCATGCTAAAACACCTAACCAAGGTTACATGGTGGTAATGTCTCTAGATGGCAAGATTTGAAAGAAGAAAAGCCTGCGCGGGAAGAGGGGGATTCTGGCCAGGCATGGATCCATGCCAGGATCTTGGAATGGAGTTTTCTACAGAAAACCGGAGCAATGCAAGGAGACACTCCTCACAAGGGGGGACTGGGGAACAGGAACACCCTGCTTGTAGCTAAGGAAAAGGGGATATGTGTGCTAAAGCCCCAACATATATGTGTGGTGTGCTGGGAGTCTAAGATGAAAAACCTGAACTCAGAAGCCACTTTTGCTGGATGTGGTGTCAGAGTGACTGGTGATCTGGTTAAACAAACAAACACCCTTCAAGTTGAGGAACTCTGAGTACGCTAGATTTAGGAGATTATCTCTGGAACCCCGGCAATACAGAGAGAGATTCCACAGACATTGTTTAGTCTCTAATATTCCAAGTAAAGAAATCCAAGTCTGAGAAGCTAGCGCCTCCAAGCAGCAGGGTTTCCAAGGCATAGTGCCCAACTTCAAAGGTTCCATCCATCCAAACCCTAGCCTCACTGACCATGTGGCCCAAACCTCTCACTATCAGGACACCATCTTACTGGAGCCTTTCTGCAGGGTTAAAGTGAAGGTCAGGAGAATAGTGACTATACTACCTTATTACACAGCTGGGTGGTGTGTGTGTGTGTGTGTGTGTGTGTGTGTGTGTGTGTGTGTGTGTGTGTATGTGCGCGCGCGCACGCGTATACCTGTGCCAGGGCTTTCTCAAGGCTCCCCCCCCAAAAAAAAGCATAAGCAGAATGAGGCCTTGTTATGAGGGGCAGCTTGGGTCTGTCCTCTAAAATTTCCCATAGCTTTTATCATTTTATAAGGGACAGATGAAAATAAAAGTCTTAAAAGGTCACATTATAGTACTTTTAAGGAGTAAAGTTACAAAAAAAAAAAAAAAAATTCAGCAACTACATTTCGGGCTGAATACATTGTACTATGCTACAATGGCACCCAGGCTTACAGAAACAAAAGTTGCAGTGGCATGGAAATCTGGATCAGACTGGTAAGGGGCTGCAGGCATCGCATACCTGGAGGTCTGAGTAGCGCCCCTTTTCTTGTTTTTTCTACATGTTCGGTTTTTATTCCAATTGAGACTTTGTGTGCTTCCTTCTCTCTTCTCCTGAAGCTTCCTCTTCCTGTAAGAATCTTCCTGCTGAAGAGAAAAAAAGGAAACATTTGTGGCTTCAAGAGACTGTCTAAAGACAAAACTCTTGAGCGCCTTTGTTAACTTTTGGGGACCAACTCTTTCTACATCCAGAACTTCTCAGCACTGGCGAGACATGAGGCCACTTTTTCTCAGTCTCTGCAGACAGCGAAGAAAAAAATAATTGTCGCTTATGACACTCCCAAGGGGCTGAGAGGGGGAAAGATCTGCAGTGACATGTAGGTGGCTGCAGTAACCCCCCCCCCCCAGCCTCCATCTGCTCATCAGTGCCTGTAACTCAATGAACCAACTGCCCCGTAAGGCTCAAGCTATGTGTGCGTGTTCTTATTTGTTTACAGATGAACTCTGTGTGACCAGGCAGCCAGACTGCCACAGGATGTGCCAAACTAGCTACAGCTTCTTGGGTAAATAAAGTCAGAGCGCAGTTCTTATGCAAATGTGGTTATGAAGAACTTTATTCAGTGGGTGGCATACTGACAGCTATAGGTATATGTGCTGCACATACATGAGACTCAGTTGGTGGTGATGGGGAGTTGGTCCCTGGCCTTTTATATTGTAAAGCATCTTCTGCTCTTCTAGGGGGTGGGCCTTCTCTCTCTTTCACTCTCTGCTCCTCAAAATCAGAGCTCAGATTTAACAACACTTGTGCAGCTTGGAGGGATTTGCCTTCTCTATGCATTTCACAGGTACGAGGGACCCACAGGGACAGAGGCATACCCCAGACTGGAAGTTCTTTCTATTGGTTAAGACTTGTTTCATGAAAAAGCAAAGATGCCCATTTCAGCATCCTTTTCAGAACCAAGGCCCAAAAGTCAGAGTTATTGATGGTGTAAGGAGTAATTGTAGCCTTAATGTCTACCTGCAGGAGAGGATGGAGTATCACAGTTTCCGCTCAATTTTCTATCACATAAGAAAATCAGAATTATAACTGACATACACACACAATGATAATAATTACTCTCTTAGCTATCTTACACTAAAAGTTCTTAAAATTTCATTCAAAAAACATTACATTAAAACATTAGTGGATGGGTCCCTTTCCCCTTCTTTTTTATGCTTTTGTAAACATGAATTGCTTTTTCAAGGAAAAAAAAAATGCCTTAGGAGAAAATAAAAACCCAGAGCTAAGGTTAAAACTTAGTCTATGGCTTCCACACCTGCCTTTACTCTTCCTTGCCAATAAAGGAACATTCTCTGCAATCAACAGACAGTCTTACATAGTCTTCCAAACTACAAAGTCAGGTCCCAAGAATGTACTAGAAAAACAAACACTGCAGGCTACACCCGGGAGTGTGTTGCTGAGAGGATTGGTTTTCTCATAACAGACAATGCAGTGGACAATGCTTTCATAGGCCTTAAGGAACAACTCCACAAAATTAGCGGGACACAGAAAGAAAGGAAATAACCAAGGACAGCCACTTGGTGGCACCAGAATATCTACTTTCCAACCAAGGGGACATCCTTGGGTCCCAAAGTCCATTCTGCTAAGCAAGCTGCCAAAACTGGACATCTACACAGACCTGCAGAGGGAGGAGTGGATACAGTCACATTTGATCAGGGGCTGGTGGAGCTCCAAGGACAGGGGGATCAACGATATGATGGTTAAGATGAATGGCAAAAAATAGTAACAACAACAGCAAAACTTTTATAGTAAAGAACCCACAGATATTAGGCTCATCTGGCCCAAAGACTTGGGGCTGGAGGCAGAACTTGGGGGTTCTGGTACATGTGTGTGGCAGAGGGAGCCAGCAGCAGCACCTGTTTCTTAGGACCAAATGAGACCAAGGGGACCTTAGAGTCACTGGCTCCATTACCTCCTAACACAAACTCAATATGGACTCCTCTGTCACTGTAGGTAACAGCCAAGTCTCCAAAGACCGCATCAAAAAGACACCATGTACAACTCCAAATTTCACTAATTCCCTATCCTAAATGTGGTGACTTTATTTCTACCAATGGAAGTGTACCCTCCTGCACCTTTGGGCCTAGCTTGTTGTTCCTCTACCACAATACTGCCCAGTATTCAGACTCAGGCCACATCTGCTCTTTGCTTATGCTGTAGAGAAAGTGTGACAGGTAATCTTGATTGTCAACTTGACTATATCTGGAAGTAATTGAGACCCAAGAAGTTGTGGGGGATTTTCTTGATGGAATCATGTGTGATAGGAAAATTCACCTTAAATCTGGGCCATACCTTCCAGTGGCAGCCCACATAAAAGGACACTGAAAATGAAAGCTTTTGCTTTTAACCTGCTTGTCCTCAATCTTGCTAGTGAGTTGTCTATCCTGTTGCTGCAGTCAGCATTAAATTTAACTCTTCAGGGTTCCAACACAGACTGGAAACCAGCAGCTGTCCTGGAATCCTCCAGGACTCCAGCACCAGACTAGGACTGCAGAGATATCCAATCTTGTGGACTGAACAACTATACGATTCTCAGCCTCTGCATTGTGAGACTATTCAGACCACATCTAGCAAGTCAGCTTAACATATGCCCTTTTAATATAAATATAGTGTGTGTGTGTGTGTGTGTGTGTGTGTGTGTTTAATAACTTTAGAGCAGTAGTTCTCAACTTGTGGATCGTGACTCACACAGGGATTGCAGATCACATACTTACATTTAGAGAACCCTGAGAGTCAGGCCGCTTCAGGCCCACCTCCACAGGGTAACTCCATTCCTAACTCCTGCCTGGCAGTCCTTATCTGGAAGGCCCAAGAGCCCTCTCACCCTTGTTTCCCTGTGGGCAGCTGCCTTTCAAGCTGCCCCTGGTTGATGGGCCCAGTGCCTGGAGGTCATGCAGTGCCTGCTGCTGCCTGCCTTGACCTTCTGCGTGCTGTACCTGTACAAGCTGCTACCTCCTCTAGGGCTTTGCAGGACCCTGTAGGCCAGTATTAGTCTTGATGCCTGATTACATTCAAGTGCCCGTGCCTTTCTCAACCCACTTCAGAATGTCTATGCCATATCTACTTTGTAGCACCTCCCCTTAATTTAAACAAGGGAGTCATTCATGCTTGTTATATCAAATTTAAAGAATACAAAACAACCACTCACTGTATTTCACAAATCTTTCTCCTGAATATTTCTCCATGATGCTACACATACATAAGGGTAACAGAACAGCTAATGGAAATACATGTGACACTAAGACAATGAATTACTTTTAAATCAAATGTCAAGGTCCAACTTATAGGAATCTAATTTTTTTCTTAAGTAACCATGGTAAAACCAAAGGAAATACCAACCTTTAAAACATGTTTTCTGCATAACATATTAATTCATTAAAGACCTCTTTAAGGACAAGATGTTGTGGCAAATGCCTTCAATCCCAGCCTTTGAGTTCCAGACTAGTGTTTCAAGACAGACAGATTTGTAAAAAAGACCCTGTCTCCAAGAACAAAACAAAACAACAAACAACAAAGATACCTTTAACGTTAAGAATAAGACTGTGAACACAGCCAGAGCTGTTACACAGAGAAACCTTGCCTCGAAAAACCAGGGAAAAAAAAAAAAGATTAAGATTGTGGGGGTGGGAGTGTGGGCCAGTACTTATCATCTATAGGTTCTGGATTTGATCCCCAGTACCACAGGGACAGAAAAACAGACACCACGCACAAGATTGCCCTGTACCAGCAATGGTCACTGTTAAAATATATTTTACCTGACTCTCTCATCAGCCTCACCTTCTATATATTTTATATAGTACTGCATTTTTATGTTGTTAAACTCTTCAGTATTTGCAGTCTGGCTTTGATTTATTGTTGCTGACTATTCAGTCTCAGTCCTAGATATGACATAAGCTAATGTCACTAACAAACCTCTAATGTAGGTTCTATAACCCAAGCCTGGATCTTTATTTTTACTTTTAGCTTGGTGGGTTTTTATTAACTTGATTTTCTCAAGACAAGTCAACAAGTTCATTTTCATTTAAAAATATCTGCTGTTATCTCTGTATGTGTGGCTCACCTTGCCTGAGTGCAATATTCTTTGTCCACATTTTCACTCTCAATGACAATGTACCAGTATTTTCTGACATGACATGTTCCTTGCTCTGGCCAACTCTCAAGTGTCATGGATTATGAAGAATGTCATTATGTCTGTTATTAGGCATCAACTTTTCCAGACCTACACAGTGGACCACTTTCATCTACAAATTGAATTCTCCCCTCTTTGCAGGAAAATCTTCTTCTATTACATTAATAATACTTTCCTGATCTTTTAGAGAAAAGATAACAGATGCAGGACAGAGAAAGATCAGCAGTTCATCAAGACTGCCTTGAAATGGGACTGTCAGTACTAACTAGATGGAGCGGGTTCTGGTCTGGTTCTAGTTCACTACTGTCACTAGGAGTTAACCCACTGCTTAAGATCAGGGCTTCCAGAGAATAAAACTAAAAACTAAAAAACATTTACTATCACTTACATAATCCAAAGATAAAACTTTCTGAGCAAAGATATTAAAGTTCTGCTATCATCTACAGAAAAAGAAATATACATATGGGAGAGATCTGTACTCTGCCTTAAGTGTGAGCTCTGCTTTTTTAATAGGAGAGAGAAAGGAACACAGACCTCTGGTGAAGGCGTGTCCTGCCTCTCAGAACATGTGCTCTCTGGAGATGCTCTCTGACTCTTCTTTAGTGAGGACAGCTTTGTGTCGACACCTTTCACAGTCTCACAGCTGTCCACTTCACTCTTGATAGGCACTTGCTGGTTATTTCCTTGAATACATTAAAAAAAATCATTTTATAGCTTTATTCCATTCACATTCCCCATAAGTAAATGTTTTCTTTTGTCAACCACATTTAATTTAATGAGATTTAGGTACAGTTTCTTTTTATAACCACAATTCCCCAGAAATTTGCATTGTTTACAAGCGGAAATATATAATAGTTCTACAATCTTTAGAAGATGTCAAAGTGAGGGTAGGGCACTAACATTTCTGTGTCGTCATAATTCACAGTGGCCCAAAGGTGGAGACAACCTGCTGTCCACCAACGGATGAATGGAAATCTGTATACTGGGGCTACATTTAACACTGTCAAAAACAATATGCACATTAGTTAAGATGATTTTTTTTTTTTTAATGGAACTAAAATCCTGGTTGAAAGACAGAGCATGAGGAAGCTTAAAGACAGAATACTAAATTAAATGAGCCAGACAAAAGAGGACAAGTATTTTATGATTTCAGTTGCAGGAAGACCTAATGTAGTCACATTCAAACTGACAAAGAGGATGTTTCCCAAGGGCTGGGGGAACAAGTGATGGGTGTTTAGTTTACTGATGAGCAGACATTGTTTGAGTTGGCAACAAAGTTCTGATGATAGACTGAGGTCACGCTTGCCCAACAACTCAAATTATAATAAACGTTCCTCTCAGAGAACCCCAACTACCTTTTACATCATAATATTCTTTATGAATAGCCAAATTTCCATTTGACGATTGTGCCAAATGCATAAAGCTCTTTAGAATTAATTCAGAGCCTTTCCATACCTTCACTTCAGTATCAACAAATGATACTGGTTTGAACATGAGCCTTGGTTCCCAAGATGGTGCTATCAGGAGGTTCAGTGAACCTTTTAGGAGGTAAGCCTCCTGGGAGGTTTTCAGGTCACTAGGAATTTGCCTTCAAAGAAGGTTGTGAGACTTTAGATTCTTTCTCCTATACTTGCCTACTTGTTTCCTGGCTCATAATATGTGTGTGTTCTTATGATACCACCTTGCCAGCTGAACTCCAATCAGAAGCTTAAGACAAGAGAACCCCAGAACTTTGCCCTAATGCATTGTTTAAAGAGATTCTTCATTGCAGGCGTAGGAAGCTGGCCAACAAGTGCTAGTAGCTAAATGTTAAGATTGAAGCTTGACCAGTATGGGATCACACACCTTTAATTCAGAAGGCTGAGCCAGGTGGATCTCTGTGAGTTTGTGGCCAGCTTGATCTACATAGTGGGTTCCAGGACAGCCATCGTTACTTCATGAGATCTTCTCTTTATATATATTGGTCAGTGGGAGAAAGGAGGGGGTAGGGAAGAGGTGGTGTAGGCTCCTCTGTGGAGGCTACAGGCATCAGCTAGGGCATGTTGCCCATTTCTTCAGTCAATAGCATCTGTCACAAGAGCATTTATCTTTCTTTAACCAAAAATGCTATTAAAGAAGCAAGGCCAGGAAACAGGAGGTGCTGCAGCTATTAGAAAAGCTGATATAGCTGGGTAAAAAGTTGGTATAGGCAGGTATGGTGGAGCATGCCTTTGATTTTAGCACTCGGAAGGCAGACCCAGGCAGATCTTTGAGTTCAAGGCCAGCCTGGTCTACAGAGAGAGTTCTAGGACAACAAGGGCTACACAGAGAAACAAAAGTTGGTATAGATCTGTTTAGTTAGAAACACTGCAAAGAGTGACTACTTTTTTACAAAGACCCTGAAGCTGAGAACAAATAATTAGAAATGTATCAATATTCTTCTAATAATGATATACAACATTAACAACCTCACTTATTCTAAAACTTGAAATTCTTAAGTCATATCATTCTAAAAATCATGTGCCTTGTTTTGAATTTCAACATTTATGCCTTGGCTAAAATTGTGTGTAAATGCACTCAGCTCCCACAAAATAAAACCAAAGATCTTGGCATCTGGGTACGGTAGCTTCCTCTGCAGTGTCAGACAAGACTGCACTGTACTATAGTGTGAGAATCTGAAAGAAAGAGCAGAGGAGGGGATAGCACAGTATCTGTCCCAAGGTTACAGGTGAGGCCAAATCTCACTGGAAATAGACCAAAGGAGAACAACCAAGGAGGTGGCTAATATTACCATGTTTCCTGGAAACTTCTGGCATGTCTGACTGCTGGTACTGAGGTGGGCTTTTGGGCAAAGGACTTTCGGGTGGCTTCTTAGAAGTCTTCTGTGGGCAGGGCTCTTCTTGTTCCTTGAGCTCAACCACATTTTCTGAAGTTTTAATGTCAGTTTCCTTAGGAAACATACATGTCTGTATTCCCTCCTTCATAGTACACTCTGAAGAAGTATTATTGACAACTGTGTTTTTCAGTGAGTTTTCCTCTTTGTTCAGTACATTTTTGGGGAGGGTTAAATTCTTCTGCAAGTTGACATTCATACCAGTGGCATATCTGAGGCTGACCCAGTTCTCACTCATGACATCAGTAGAAGTGTCTTCCTTGGCAGCAGACAGGGAGCTTGTCAGGGTCAAAGTCTGCTTCTCCTCTGTAGCAATGCTGGCACTGCTGGCCAGGGATGCACTGGGCTTCTGTTTGCTGTAGTAGAAGGAGCACTTATGCTTCTTCTGAGAATGACCATAGGTGGCCGGACTCCTCTTGGCAGCATTCTGGATCCTGCTCAGGGGTGGGCCCACTGGAAGGCAGCTCTTCCCTCTGCCTTTGTCAGATGAGCTGTACGTGTCAAGAAAGTTCTTGCAATTGCTTCTGAAGAAGAAACACATTTAGTATGAATACAAAGCAAACTTCCACAGAACGGGGGATCAATTGGTGCAGTGCCCTGAGGAGTGCCAGCCTCCCCCTTCTTTCCGAGCCCCGTGAGTTCTCTACCAAGAGGCCATCAATGAGGCAAGCCCTCACACAGAGTATCTAAGAAAAAATATTGAAGCTATTCACACAATTTACAAAGAATTTGATAAAAAATAAAATTTCTTCTACCTTGCAAGGGAATCAGGAATGACCTCCCACCCAAATGCACGGAGGGAGACATCTTACTTGTGAGAATGGGAGCTGAGCGCGTCCACTGGACCACCATTCTGCTGGGAAGACAAGCTGCCACTTTGCCTCTGTCGGGTTTTCATGAATTCTATCAAGATGTACTGTGCTTGTTGGAAGGCTATTAGAATCACACCCAACAGGGACAAACTGGGGAGAAAACAATGCCATTCATTACTGCGTGCCTCTGAACAGCATTAAGAGGGGCCACTAGAATACAGCCACAGTTCCAGCTACTCAGGAGCTGAGGCAGAAGGACTGCTTGAGTCTGGTACGGGCAACGTAATAAGAGGACTTCAAAAAAAAGTTTTTTTCTATTACAGAAGAGTGGTGAATAGACAGAAAATAGCTATAGGAATGGTATTACATTTCATTAAATATACAACATAATTTCTAATGTTTCTTAAAGCTTAAAAAAACAGTTTGTTTAAAAAAAATTTGAATATTCAAGGTTGACATGACAATTCATTTTTTAAATGTATTTTCTAAATAAAGTTACTGTTAAAGGATCACTGTGGTCTTGCTGGGTAGTGACAGCACACACCTTTAATCCCAGCACTTGGTAGGCAGAGATAGGCAGATCTCTTGAGTTCAAGGCCAACCTGATGTACAAAGTGAGTTCAGGACAGCTAAGGCTACACAGAGAAACCCTGTCTCAAAAAAATAAAATAAAATAAAAATAAAGGATCATTATGGTCTTATAATGTCAAATAGTCACTGCACTGAGCTAGTGTCAACCCTCAGGCTGCCACTGTGACTGGCAATGAATGAATATGGAAGACAGCTGTGTGTCACACCTCGGGTCCTACAGGCTTTCAGTTTCCTAAAATCTCACCACAGCTCCATGAATGCCTTGTCTCCTGATCATACACAAGAGGACTCAAAAGCAATAAAACTCTCACTCCATTTGTTTTGTTTTTTGTTTTTCAAGACAGGGTTTCTCTGTGGCTTTGGAAGCCATGCTGGAACTAGCTCTTGTAGACCAGGCTGGCCTCGAACTCACACAGATCCGCCTGCCTCTGCCTCCTGAATGCTGGGATTAATGGTGTATGCCACCACCACCACCCGGCCCTCCCACTCCATCGCGACTTTAGTACTCTGCCTGAGAAGGGTGGGAAAGGCAGTCATTTACCTGACAAAGAAGACTGTGAGCCTCCAAAAGGACTCCTCCCAGCTGGGACCCGGAACCACCTCTGCACACACAGGCAACATGTGATGAGGGAGAGTCACGTTGAGTGTGAAGTGGAATTCCAGGTCTGCTGCAGTTACCAGCATCAGCTCACGGATGACCCAGGAAGAGGTAAAGTCAGGAGTAAACCTAGGGTAAAGGGCTCATAAGTATGATTGTTTCTGTTTTTAGGGGCAAGGGGCTCATCAGTATCATTATTTCCTGGTTTTAATTCTTACCACAAAGCAAAAATAACAATAGAAACAAAACTTTGGTCTATATAACAATACTCAGGACTGGAGCACTGGCTACTCTTCTAGAGGACCTGGGTTCAATTCCCAATATCCACATGACAGCTTACAACTGTCTCTAACTATAGTTCCAGGGGACCAGAAACCTTCTAGCCTCCTTGGGTACCACTCACATGGAACATAGACATAAATGCCTATAAACACCTATAAAAAATTTTTTAATTAAAAAAAACCCAAATATTTATATAAATGCAGTGTAAGATATCAGTAACTAACCGGCTGGGTACCTCCCCTAACAGTACACCATGAACGGAAACGAATTTAAACCCCAGCACTTACACGATACTGATGTCACGAGATGTATTTGGGTTTAATGAAAACGGATGGCAATCTAGCACTTGAAATCCATAACCCTGGCAGTTATATCCATTGATTTTCAAGGACGTCACAGTTATAGGAAGAGGGCCGATATTCTCAACTTTGAAGTTCTTTGTAATAGATAAAATCTGCTTGCTGTCTTTCAGTTCTAGTAAGGGAAGAGTTGCTTTATTTAGTATATACACACTTCAAAACTAACTTTAATCATTAACTGAATCAAAACATTATTAAAATGTGAAAAAGCTGAACACAGTTAAAACCTGATTTCTACCTTGTTTGTAGAATAGTTTCTTACTATACCACCTCTAGATTCTGCTCTATAATAAGGAAACAGTAAAAATACTCAAGTCTAGATTCCTCTCAAGTAAAGATTTCGCCTTCACCCACTAGAGGCGAAACTCTGTTTTTTTATTTGTCCTGGAGTCAAATAGTTTGGTATCATGTACCCCACGACCAGGTAAGAGAAGGGTCTCATATATCCCAGGTTGGCCTCAAGCTTGCTATGTAGTAGCCAGAAAAGATGCTGCAGATGTCAAGCCTGTTAACTCACGTCGACGACAATCCATCAGAGTGGACTCAGGCACCTTAAATCGGAGTGACCCTCCTGCACCAGGAAGTCTTCCACCCACTTTCAAGAGCTCTTGTGCTCCAAATCCTTCCACACCAACCATGTCGATGACAGTTAAGTTATTCCTACAGTGAAGGAAGCACAGCAGCATCACCCTAGGCCTAAGTCAACACAATCCTAAAACACAGGCTAGACCACATCCCAGGACACTGGGAAGCTTAGCTTCAGGGTTACATGCTGCAAAGCTCACATGGCACTATTCCTACACAGCAAGAATACTATGAGTTAAAAATACAGCAATCTCTTACAAGTATGGCACCTCCTGCATCTTACAGACTAAGGTGCCTCCAGAAAAAAATGATAGTCCAGAATGTTCAAGCTAGCTGGCAGCAGAGTGGGTGAGTAACTAGCATTCTCCAACCATCCTACCACAAATGGATGCACAGCACCGGGGTGGCGGCCACATCCTGAGACATCAAATAAAGTGGCAGACATGGATGCTAACAAAAATTGACAAAATGACAAAACCGATTTGTAGGGAGGTTTTCATAGTGATTTCCGTGAGACGGGATGACTCTAGAATTAGTGGTTTTGTTTTTTTGTTTTTGTTTTTTTTTTTTAATCAAATACTCAAAATATCACCCCACAAACTACAATTAAGTAGTCAGATTCTTATGAATGCAGTGTGTGCAGGGCAGTGTTCATTTTTTTATTAGCTGATGTCATGATGACAATGCCACAAAGTACAGAGAGAACTCATCTTTATTTCTAATGTCAAATGTACTGAAATGTCTGAAGAAAATACTGTGTCAATCAATAAGGAAACCATCAAAAGTAGATAAAACACCATTAAAACTTTACTTTTAAGTCTAGGGAAGAAATATTTACTTATATAATTTCTGAAACCTTCTTCAGGAAGACTAGGTTTCAAATGAAACACACAAATCAACAGGAAGTTGTGGCGTCTTGGGTCAAGGCTTTGAAGGACAGATGCTCAGGACTTTATTTTAACACATTTTCCTTTTAGTATCACTCAGTTGCAGAAGAACAGATCCAGGCATATTCAAGGCAGACTCCAATAAACTTTTTGCAATTGATTGATCTGATTAGAAAAGCTTTTGAAAAATAACTAAAGTGTTATTTATTTAAAGTTGCAAACAGCTTCAATTCAGGTCTGTACTTTTGCAAAAAGACTTTCAGAAAGACTATCCACTATGGAAAAAAAGTAAAGAATAAAATGCATCTTTCCTGCTTAAATCAACAAGCAGTAGCTGTCATTCAAGAGGAAAGAAGTGTGGCAGTGGACCTCCCCAGTGAGGCATTTTTCCACTACACAGCACAAGAGGCTGGAGGCCCAAATCTACCCATGGGTAGGTCTACAGCACTGCTGTAATTATCTTCATTACTAAGGACAAAGAAGTGTGTGTGTGTGTGTGTGTGTGTGTGTGTGTGTGTGTGAGTGACTGTGGATGAGTATGTTCCAACTTTTGGGCCCATATCTGTCTGACTAAAGGCTGAGTGAAATATGTTATTCCCCTGGAGACAGTGGCTCATAGGGAAGGGACCTGACTGAAGCACAGGGATTAAGAAAGGACCCCTCTTATTTAGCCCCTTCCTCTTCCTAATCTACAACACAGCCCCACCACTGCACTCTGAGCAGTGAAAAAGATGAGATAGTGAGAAAGAGACTGACTTGTTGTAGAACAATCCTGTGCATTGTGAAAATGTGTTGCTCTCACTGCTAATAAAAAGCTGATTGGCTGAAAGCTAGGCAGTACTTTAGGGGCAGAGAGAATCTGGGAAGAAGAAGAGTAGAGTCAGAGATGTCACCAGGCAGATGGGAAGGAAGCAAGATATGTTAGAGAGGTAAAAGTCATAAACCTTGGAGCAAAACATAGATTAATAGACATGAGTTAATTTAAGTTGTAAGAGCTAGTTTGTAATAAGCCTGAGCTATTGGCTGAGCATTTATAATAGTGAGTGGTTATTTGGGAAGTGGCTGGCCAAACAGAGATGATTGTGGTCCTCACAAAAAAAAAAAAAAAAAACAAAAAACTCTGCCTACACAGACTCTGTGACAGGCATACACCTACCGGATTAGTATAAGAGAGGTGACTTTTCCATAGTCCACTGGTGTGAACACAACACCAACCCTTCTCATTTCCAAAGGTTGCAAGTAGAGATGGAGCCCGCCCAAACTGGATTCCTCTGAAGGTTCACCCTACAGGTAACAGAGGACACTATTAACCACAGCAAATCAGCAGAGTAAGTTTTCAGCCTCTAAACATACCCTTTATAAGCTTGACTGCATGCATCCTCGCCAAACTATTTTCTTTTCTCTCCTTGTATTTGTCATACTGGGGACAGAATTCAAGACCTTATGCATGCTAAGCAAATGCTATACCACCAAGTCTCAGCCCCTTCTCTTGCCAATCTATCTGAACTTGTTTGTCCTGAACATTTAAGTGTTCAATACTTCCTATGCCTGATATGAGAAACTTCTGGGTAACTTCAGGACAATCAAGCAGAATACTACAAAATAGATTTGACCCCTGGTCTGAGTGGGAATTGGAGTTAGAAGCCTTCAATACCGAACACTTTGACTGAGAATCAATCAGAAAATGGACTTTTTCTGATTATTTTTATAGCAACTGAATAAGATCACCCACCCATATCAGATAAGCATAGATTATCTTTAATAGTGAATTTAAGTTTTACAAAAAAAAAAAAGAGAGAGAGAGAAAGATTTTTTTAATGAGTTTCTCTCTTTAGGAGACCACTATTTATTTATATTTGCCTTTATTCCCTTCAGTATTCCTATGAATAAATATTATTGTTTTACCACTGACAGGCCAGGTTTTTTTTTAATGAAAATATTTCTGCTGCTTAATGACAAATGATTGTTTTTGTCAAGTATGATATATAATCTGCACAGTAAGTAACATTTCTCTTTTTAGCTTTATCCTTCAAGCCTTGATATTTTCTGTGCTACCTGGAAGGACAAATAATGATAAGCCATATTCATTTCAATTAAAATTATAAACTCTGCAAGACAAAATCTTGCTTTATAAATATAATGTAACACTGAGCCAAAATGATGCTAATCTTCAGTTTAAAGCTATAATAACACCAATAGCAGCTGTCTATTCAATGGTTTTTTTTTTTCATATACCAGGAACTAGACTATTTAACCCACATAAAACATTAAGCAATCTGTTTTATAGACCTTACTGAATCTTCAAATGTTGTTATGAAGGTCAAAGATGAGATGAAACAACTGCCCAAAATAATATAGGCAGATGGAGTCAAACCTGCACTACCCAGTTCCTTACGTTCTTCACCCTCCCCCAAAACTACGCTTCTACAAGCAAGTCAATAAAGTTACAATGTCGAAGTCCTCTTTCATATGAAAAATAGTTTCAAGCTCTTCAAAATGTTTTTATTTATATGCACATATGTTTCCCCTCCTGTCTTCTCAAGCACTACTTGTGTGAAGAACTCATTGAACTGTGGTTATAGGCAACTGTGAGCCACCACTGAGTTACTATGATCTAAGTCTGGGTTTTCTGCAGGAGAAGACAAGTACTCTCAACTAAGTCATCTCTCCAGCCCCATGACAAAGAGCTTTAACAACTCTGAGTTAAAGTTTGAGCATTTATTCATTTATTTATTTATGTCAATCTATTAAGTCAACAAAGATTCCTAAATCACAAAAATGTTATTTCTTAGGAGGGAAATTCTCTAGTTGCCAATATAAACACTATCTAGATGAGTCACCCAATATGTTCAAATCTGATTAAAATAGACATAAAATAATCTGCTTTTGTTTCTCAATTTCAAGTTATAAATGACTTACTAAAAGTAGGCAAAGCATTTCTCAGTATTTTGAACTAATAATTTCTATCATCCTGGATGCTACCTGGGAAAGAGAAGCAGAGGAGCAGAGAGGAGGACAGGGTCACCATGGAGATGAGTGACCATGTGGCCCATGGCTCCACCCCTCCAGTGCCACCCAAATGATCTCAGAGAAGGGATGATTGGTCCATTATTGCAAACAAGTCTCTGGGGCAAGCGCACTTAAGAAGCTGCTCTGCCTGCGCCCTCCTACTCTTCCAGGTAGGCTGAGGCTCTCTGTCGTCTCCCTCCTGCTCTTCCACTTACACTGTATGGAATATAGTTTTGGAGGGATACAGGTGGAGACCGTTGCATATGTCTGTGTACATTCTTTATAGTTGTTTTAACTTTGATTCTGAGCACACAATCCTCCACTAATAAATGGAAACTGAGAAATGAGATGGCTAAAGCCACTGGCAAACAAAAATCCCACCATATAATAATTTAATTCCTTCTAAGTGTTTAGAAAGGTACCATGGCTGCCTAGAGGTCTAAGAATGCTAAAGAACTCTTTTAAATAGTGAACCTGAGTGTCACAGGAGTCCAGGGACTATCCTAATCACTAAGACACATGAGAACTCATTGTTTGTTTGCTTTTTCAGATAGGACAGCTTTGGCTGTTCTGGAACTCACTGAGTAGACCAGACTGGCCTAGAATTCACAGAGATCTACCTCCCTTTGCCTCCCAACTTCTGGGATTAAAGGTATGCACCGCCACACCTGGTACATAAGAATACATTTTTAAAATGTATCTACTTTTCCCTTACAACACACTAAAAAGGTATTTGAAGGGGCCAAGGAATCCTAAGAGAATCATAAATTAATTCTTGATTCTCTAGTTATATAGTTTTTTTTTACATAGTTCTGATTAAATTGCAATTTCTTCTCTTGCATGAATCTAATCCACCGCGTTAAAATGATGCACAGACTAAACTCATCCTACAGCGCTGTGTCATTGAGAAACAAACAAACAAACCCTGCTATGTATGTTTCATGCCCAGAGAAGGGAAACAAGAGCCAGCCCAGAACATATGGACACCAGAACACAAGGAAGCAAGGGCCACTGTTTCTACAGCTAGCAAGTATGCAGTTTCAGTGTCTGAAGATGACCTCTTACCTGGTAAGGGCAAGCTTTGGTGAGCTGGAATTCACCAGTTGTGAAATTAATCATCTGCATATCTGTGCCAAACCTAAAAGCCAAACAAAAAACTCCAATGTTCAAAACAGCATTGAGATTAGCCAATAAGGAATTAATAATATCTATGTGCTCACATACTCACTACCACATACCAACCCATCAATGGCCATTCTACCTCAGCGCTCTGCACACCCACCCACAACACCTGCAACTGTAAGTGCTAGGGGAGTATTATTATTCAATAGAACCAAGACCCACGGCAACAGAGATCTATATAGGAAGCAATGCGGATTTCCTCCAAGTGGCTTACTATGGAACTTGAAAGGAAGCTGCTCTCAACAATGGCAGCTTCATGCCCTTGGAACTGGCAGCATCTGGAGACACTGGTTGACATGGCTGGGGAAGTCTTGCTGGCCTCAAGGGAGCAGACACCATCTTGAAAGAGCCGAATGCCCTCTAGTACTGGGCCCTCCTTCCTCTAAAAGGCAGTAGCTGATGTGACATGCCAATAGCACAAAAGCTGAGAACCCTGTGATCAAGTCTGTTACACAGCTTCCTACCCAAGAGGGACATTCTGAGTAAATCTGCAACTCCAAGACAGCAGGATGGCTGTATGCACCTGCAGGCATCCCGTTTAACACTACACTCAACTCATCTCTTACTCTTGAGCTAGGAGAACCACTAGGTTGACCAAGCTAGTCTCAAAGGCATGGTCTTTCTGTAGGATTACAGACAGGCACCACTGTGTCTGTCTTTAAATCCACTTCCCATGTTGGCGAAGATCATCATAATTTAAAAGAGTCTCAATTTGAGAAGTTTATATGAAACTTTGGGACAGCTTTCCCTAACTCAAGAAAAGAAAGCTCTGCTGAGGACAGACCAGGCACAGTAACAATGAAGGTGCCACACAAAACAATGCCAAGATTTCCATCAAGCCACATGCATCAAGGGACCAGGCTCCCAGGGCTCACACTGTGTGTCAGCACACAAAGCCTGGGAGAAAGAGGTGCAGGAGTTCCCAAAAGCCTGTCCGGGGATCTTCCTACCATTTGTGCAGCAGGCGCACTGCGGCTTCAGGTTTCGGGTATAGGGAGAGAGGCAGGAGCTGCAGGGAGACTGGCCGAGGGGACGGGTTCCTCACCACAAAGTATTTCACCTGGATTAGAGGAGAGGAGGGTTAATTAACACGGCAAAGAACATGGTATCCTCCCAAGGAATTCCTGCCAAAAGAACATGACCTGAATCTCACATGGAGAGCCATCACACAGCTTGGAGAGAAAACAGCTTGAAGATTTCCAAACAAGTCCACATGGGAGTACACCAGATGCTGAACAAGGGTTCAATCCCTAGCACTAGGGGTTGAGATGGGGAGGTAATACCATGAATGATTTCCTGACCAGACCCAGGAAGAGTAAAACAGACCAAGAAGACAGTGCACTGAGCTCCTGGGTTGCATCTGAAGCCAAGGGGGAAAAGGAAATCCCTGTAAGGTAAGACACTAGAAAGTCTCACCTACAGAATACAGATTAAGTAACAGCATCGTGATGTTTCATTTTACATTCTGGTTATAGAGGCAAATGCCCTTGTTAGAGGAATCCCAACATCTAATATTCAGTAGTTCTTAAAACTACAATATGTTAAAGGAGAGAGAATGACAGGAAGTGTGGCGTATTAAATACTTAGGACTCCAGGGTAAAGGTGCTTGTCACCAAGCTGCAGAAACTGAATTTACTCTCTGGAACCCATGTGGTGAAAGAGAGAATCAGCTCCTGAAAGGAGTCCTCTGGCATCCCCTGCACACTTGCAATGATGTCCCCTGTATACCTGCACACACACCATTAAATAAATAAACATAGAGAAGTAACAAACCCTAGGAGGGGGCAGTGGAAGTTCCTCATACTATTCTTAAAACTTAGAAGTCAAAATAGCAGTTTAGGAGCCTCAGTGAGCACAACACACAGTGTGCCATTAACTTCATGTGCAGTGGTGTTAGTTTGTCCCCTTTGCCCCTTCCTGCCACCCAGGCGAGGCGGGAGAAGTACATGAGGGGGAAAACCAATGCAACCTGGCTCCCTCTAGATTCCCACTGGCTGAGGGTCTCTCATGACACAGAAACCTGTTTCAGCCGGTGTGGACCAAGATTCGCCCTACTGCCAGCTGTTGGGTACTCACCTCCAACACTTAAGTTATGAAGTTCATATCTAACTGACGTCTCTGTTCAAGGGCTCTGAACTTAGCTTCTCTTCTTGTCCCTGTGATATGCCCACCCAATGTCTAATGACGTTTGTGTATGAATTTCAATCAATTTCTTCTAAAACCAATCTCCTGGAATAAACAGCCTAGTAGTCTGAAAGGCCCAGGCTTGGATGTCACTGACAAAGGAGACAGCCACAGACAGCATCCTTACCGCACTGCTCCTGAGGGCAGTGGCACTGAAGTTCAACACACGGCCAGGATCCAGGACCAAGCGAGGCAAAAAGGAGACAAAAGGTTCTGATTCCTTGGATTTCTTTGCAGAGGCAAACTGAGTCATTCCCAAAACATTTCTCCTGGAAAATTGACAAAAGGGTGATAATAATAATAACTGTATATGGAAAACAACCCTGACATTTAAAAAGAAATGGAAATCCTAAATACCACTGGCTCTGAAAGGAGTAAGAGCTCTTGGGGAAATGGCTGTTGGTAGAATTTGGAAAGACAAGAGTGTATGACTGACTTTAGAGGTCTCATGACATCAACCTGGGGCTGAGCACATGTTTTACATGTCAGAATCCCCAAGTTCAATGTCTGACATTAAACACACACATATGCAGACATAACTACACGAACCCCCCCCCCCAAAAAAAAACTTACTAGAAAGTAATCAAGTGTTTAGAGAATGACTGCAATTTTGGTACCACATCAAAGAGACACACAAGCTACTCAGGAGGACATTATAATAAATTTTGAATTTGTCATCAAAACTAATAATTACAGGGCTGGGGAACAGGTTCAGTAAGGAAGAGTACTTGCTGGGTGTGGGGCACTGAGTATGGGTGTTCAGCAGCCACAGAGGCCGCTGCCCGTGGCTGGAAGCACACCTGTAGCCTCGGACTCAAATAGTGAGCTCCAACATCAGTGAGAGACGGAGGACACTTAACAAATCCTACTCAGGCTTCTGCACATGTGAACATGTTTCTACACCCGTACTCTCATGCATATACCCCATATACAAATTAACAGAATGATGACAGAAATAAAATACACACATGAATTGGAAACTGTGGTTTAAAAGGGAGCTTTAAAAGCAGTTTGTGTTAATAAATGGAGCCCAAACAACATAATCCTCAGCCTTACCAATTCACAGCCATTAGTTCTGAGATAAGGCTTGCCCCTGAGTACTATAACTGTGGTTTGAAAAGTCTTAGGGATCAGCAAATTTATATAATCAGACTACTGAATTACCGAAGGAAAAATGTCTCCAAGGTGGATATCTGTCACAAGTCACCTACAGCAAATGATTCAACTTTACAATGTTAGCCATGGGGCAAGATGACATCTATGTGTTTCCTGGTGTGACATAGTCACAACAGCACAGCACCAGCAGGGAACCAGTAGTCTTGCTAAAATGGGTGTAAACTTGAAAAACCAATTTAAAAAAAAAAAAAAATCCATTGTGAAATTTTCTGTCTAGACTAAAAAAAAAATGTGTCAACATGATAAAAACCAAAGATGGATGGGGCTCTAGTCTACAGACTACAGAAACCAGACAAAGTGTGTAGCCCTGAATGACCCTGAATTAAACGAGGCGGGGGGGGGGGGGGAGAGGTGGGGTGGAGGGGTGGGAAGGTGGGGGGCTATAGCAGGTATTATAGGTCAACTGGGGAACCTTTAGTATGAACTATATGTGATTCATTATTGGTCAATTTTCTGGTTGCAGTTGTAATGTTACATATAAAAGAATATTTTCCAATCATTTTTTTTTCTGATGAGAGCCTCAATATGATGGCTAGCAAAGTTTTTCCCAACAAAGTACTGAGGGTTCAAGGATGAGATTCACTGTCCATTTTCAAAGAACTCAGCAGAAAGTGGTGAGTGAACATATGCATATTCACGAAGCCAGAAACAATACACAAAAGGGGAAAATTTTGATGCCAATGAGTAAACTATAGTTGAGGTACAGGTGAGAAGTATTTACAGTGCTGCCCGTCAACACTTCTGAGGCTGGAGTTTGCACAATCACCCACAAGTGCAGGGCACTAGGAAGTTACCCCCACACACACCACCACCAATCCAAGGAGGACACACCTGCACACACCGCCATTTTTATACTTCCTCCATCTTTCATACAGTTCATTTGCAAGTCCAGAATCCACATCCCAGGTAGACCGATCCAGAGAAAGGCTTCCATCCCAAGTAGGAGTTTCTAAAAGTTAGACCAGATTCAGAATTTAGATTTACAAAGTACAACTGAATTAGTAAACAATGTCAAGGGCTAACCGTTAGACTTCACAAACTAAGAGGGCTGTGGCATGAATAAATCCTGTTGCTTTCCTCTGAAACTCAATGGCACATGATACATCAAATTAAACAAACATGTAAAAAGCAAAACTAAAGCGAATCATGTGAAGGTTATAACGTAAAAGACACATGGCTCATGATACAGCCTGAGACAAATTAAAACTATGCTTGCAGCATTTTCAACAGCTTCGTATCTAAAATGCAGAGAGCTGCTTCCATGGAAACACCCTTTGCTAGCTTCATCTTTCAGGGTACTGTGTAGGTCGGGGATGTGGAGGGACAAACAGTAGTTCTCAAGGAGAGCACAGACCAGCAGTTGGTCCTATACAGTGCATGTCCATTAACTGGTCTATGAGTTACCTCACCCCTACATATCTGTCCTGTCCTGTGTCCTCTAATGGGGGTACTGGGAAGAAAAGGGGGTTCTACTAAAGGTAAGTCTGGACTTTAAAATTCTCTTTACATCAGAAACCTTAGTAAATTAAAGAATAAAGAAAGATAAAAATAAGCCAAAACCCAAGCTCAACTTCCAAATCACTACCAAGGCCTTCAGTTTCACATGACACTTAGCACCTCCTGACTGTATGTGTGTGTATACAGATACATGTAACACCTAGATCTGCACATGAAATTCCAAGTGACTCTAACTTCTATCATCTTTAATACTGAGCCCCAATTTCCCAGTTTTTCCTGGTGATAAGGCTGCTAAGATCAAACAATATTATTTTTTAATCTCTCACAAAAACATGAGCTACATAAGAAAAAGTGGACATTCTTATTTCCATAAATAGCCTGGCTAAGTCTGGAGGACTATCAACTATTTCAGGTCACTCTGTCAATGACCATGCTATTTAAGCATACAGTGTGATATAATTGCTTTAAGATAATTAATTATTAATGAATTCCATCTACTAATGCTAATTATCTCACTGTTGTCCATCCCCCACACTGCAGTGCTACAGGAATCCTAAGGCGATACTTACCTGGTTTTGATTTTCCCATGAAATAATGCATGCCACAATGTGCTATCACTTCAAAACCCAGACTCCCTTCCTAGATTGAAAAGTAATATATGAATAACTTAAAACACAACACTCAGCATAAAAAATCCTACACACTAAAAGAGGAAACAGATATTGGCCTCTATCTCAAAGGACTCCCCTTTAACCAGAAGCCAAACAACTAAGAAGCAATTTCTTTGTTCCTTTGTCATGTCACAGGGTCACCACAGTGGCTTCTACACATCATCAATGCTCAAAATGACAACTTACAGTGGCTTCTGTATAATCATCAATGTCTACAACTACAGTTATTGAGCCCATAAGACACCAAGCTGCCATATGAATTAGATTTGAAACATTTCTGGTGGTTTTGTGTTCTGCTTGTTTTGAACTGTACATTAATCCTCTGGACACAGCATGCTGATATTGACTAACCTGCAGCTACCCCTCCTGTAGGTCTAGGGAGTGTTTGTGCTCTTCATCCTCATGCTGCTGAAGCCTGCCTCCTGTTTCCTCCCTTTAATCACTGTTTTTATATGTTTCTCTTGATTGGGGAAGGGTATATACTAAGAAATCCCTCCTGCTCAAAATAGGACTAAATGAAGAACCTCACACTCTTACTGAGTTTGGTGTGTATAGACTCCTATCTTTACACTCTTGGGTAAAGGTAAGGCATTTCTAAATATGAAACATCAACACTAATAAGAAAAAAATCATAAGGATGGTTGCATGAATGTCTCATAGTGAAAAACCAGAACTCAGTGTTTTACAGAATAGCTTGGCTCAAAAGGAAGCAATAATTAAATGAAAATAAACATTAAGAAAAAATGAGACATGCTTAAAATAATCTTAGCTGAACACAATTTGCCCAGACTTTAGAAAGAATTCTCTCATGGACCTCTTAGGCTTTTACACTGGACCCCCTAAGAAAGTTCAATGATTATAAGCAACTGAGAACCACTTAAAAGAAGTCTGTTTAAAACACCAAATAATCTGACTTACTTTAAGTCCTTGCAAACATATACTTTGTTTCTATAGTAAGTAAACACTCCTTACTTCCCAGCCTTTGGGAGTCAAGAGCAGAGTATCTGCCTAGCAAATGCAGGACCCTGTGTCTGCTCCTCATCAACAAAAAGAAAAATGAAATTGGCCAATTTGCTAGTGATGATTTAGTTTATTAAATAATCATTACTTCATGAAAATTAACCTTTCTAAGTCAAGATTTCCACATCTAAGCATGTCTATCATCTAAGACTGGCTTGGTGATGTCCTTCAATGTCTTAGATAGTCTTAACAAGGGTAAACTTAACTGAGTTTATAAGACCCAAACACCACAAGGGGATACAAGGTTAGACAACATACAGCACGCGATGTTGTACACAATACCTTGGTTGGGGCTGAGAAAATCTGCAGAGGTATTGCAAAAATGGCACCTGTGTTTGTCGTCAGAAATACATTGGTGAGCAGATTTAGGAGAATGCCTTTAACAGCAAGTTTCAAAGAAAATATATTCCAACAGCCTGGAGGTAGAAATAAAGGGCCAGGGAAACTCAGAACCTAAAAAGAAAAGAAGGGAGAGAGGTTATTTCCTGACACTCTTTATGACTAAAATCATTATAGTATATATAATGCTAAATTTCTTCTATAGTCTAGAAATTAGAATTTTACTCCACTCATTCCAGATTAAAAGTCAAATATTTATGACTTCAATCCAAGTTTCATTTCCAATGGACACTATTTTCGATGTCACAGGAACAATCTTGAAAAACTTAGTGAAAATATATATTTTAATCATAAACATGGCTTACTCTGAAAGAGAGAAAGTACAAATAACTACCAACCAAAATCCTACATGTAACTCTGAAATGTTAAAAAGAAACTATATTTGCTTTAAAAAATTGTAAGTTAAAATTAGATGTTATAGGTATCGGTGCCATAGCTTGATATCAAACAAAGCTGAAGTTGAAGAAAAAGAACTGTGTATACCTTTAAAATGTGCTTGGCCTCCTTGGAAACAAACACATCTTTTAATACAATGCTATGGTCAAAATGGCTGCGGTACCATATTGACCACTCCCCTGTTGTGTTCTCGTGACTCTCTATGTGAAACTGGGCTGTAGAGGCATCCACTCTGAAATACCTGTGAACAGAAGACATGAATGTGGTCAGCCTTGAGTCAGCACAGCTGTCTGTCCTCTAAAGATCTTCCAAATAAGGGGAAAAAAAAAAAAAAAAAAAAAAAAAAAAAAAAAACCATTATCTTTGTGGGAAGTGACTATCAAAAACATCTCAGACTTTAGCCTTCTGGCTCACCCATAGAGCAATACAGGCAAGGTTGAAGCGACCCAGCCATGACCATGGCAAAACCAGGATCCAAAATGCAGCTCATAAAATACCACAGGAGCGGTTTCTTCTGATTTTCTGGTCTGAACCAGTCTAATAAGACTGAACTACTTAGCCCTGCTTCTCCATCTTGCTACACAACCATCAGAGGTAGTTACACTAACATAAGGTGACACCAGTCCAGAGAGAATCATGCAGAGACAACAGCCAGGGTTTCAACTAATTGCCAAATGATAAAACAACAAACACACAAAAATACACACACCCACACAGACACACCCACACCCACACCCACACCCACACCCACACACACACACACACACGACTTCAGGAGAAGGCAGTGAACCTACCCCTGAACCACAGGAGAGGAGAGGCACGCTCTTAGTCCTGGGGTGTGCTTTCTTTTCCTCATATCCACAATTCCACTGTCACATGAGGTACCTGCTATGGGTACAAAGAAATAAATATGAAGCATAAGCATTAGTATCTTCCTTGTTGTTAAACCTGAACAAAAGTGAGGTGGATTTATTTATACATTTTTAATTGCATCTGCTGCCTCCAGTAAACAGTACAGAAATAATGTAATTCCTTTATGTTTCCATTTTGCTCCTTGCTGGCTGGCAACAGTCATCTGGAATATAGTATCTACACCCTTCCCTTCCTCTTTTAAGACAGCCTCCCAATTCTTTCAGGGAAAACTAAAGTCAGGACTTTGAAGCTTTTCCTTTACAAAGATCTGTCTTCACTATAAATAAAAGGGCGGTCCTTAGTTGGGCTGGAGAAAGCAGCTCACTTGGTGGAGTAAAGAGCCTGCCAGGGATGGGAGGGAATGAAATCCAAGTGGCCCAGGGAAGCACCTGGTGAGCGGTGCAGAAGCAGACAATACTTCTTGGGTTCTTTGGATCCAGACTGTGACTGCTGTTGAACTCTTAGCTTACATACTGAAGCTGTTTCCAAACCAAATTCAAACATTAACAAAACCCATCAATGTAGAGCCTACCTTTTCCACAGTCCCCAGTTATCTGGGACAGCAAAACCAAGTGCTTTCTTGTACAGCCTTGCTACAGGTATACTATGCATATTCAGGGACACTCAGAGCTCTTGAAGCATTCCACTCACAGAGTATGTCTGCAGGCCTCCTAGCAGCTACAGGGAACACTGTCTATACAGGCGCTCGCCTGAACCAGCACTGTCAGTGGGCTCTGAGGCTGCTCTGCTGTCAAATGAGGTTCCTGCATATAGGCCTTGATTTCGTTGAGCAGGAGGTGTCACAGCTGGTCTCCAAATCCTTGGGCTCAAGCAATCCTCCTGTCTCCTCTACAATAACTGACTACAAACACCTGTCACCATGCCTGGCCTAGGTATAGTTTGGAAACAAAAATCTGTAGGATACATTGTTGAATTAGAGTTGAGTACTGAAGCATTTTAAATTTCCATAAAGAGAAATTAATTTCCTTCACAACAGCCCATGACAATTCTCAGCTAAAACATAATACATTGTTCCTTGCTCGTTAACATAATACATTGTTCCTTGCTCGTTATTAAAGAGAATATGAGCACCTTTTCAAAAAAAAAAAAAAAATCCTTATTGATCTCTATAATAGATTCTATCTCACGTGTTGCCTTAAATTGAAGTTCTGTAAATTTGAGTGATGTTGGGTATATTTTCCTGGGATTCCCATCCATGGGAATTCATTTAGAATACTTTCTAGCTATGGGTAGGAATCTGAACCCAGGACTGTATTTAAACTCACTGTGGGCATTCACCGTCATATTCTATCAAGTAAACTGAAACTGTGCTACCCATGAAAGCAATAGAATGTACACACTGAACTGAAAGTCACGAAATTAAGCTTGAAACTCAAAATCCTACAGGCATGGCAAAACACAGGTGGCATCCACAGTAGTTTTAATTACATAAAAAGCTGTGGTTTCGGGAACAAAACCCACTCTGTTTCTTTAAATTGTGTCTCACCTGTAGCTGGAACTTCCCTTAATGAAACTGCCAACTAACCCACCTGAAAATAGGAATATCCTAGAAGTTTAAATGATTACCTTTGCAAATGAATGAAGCAATTTTTGTGAAATTGGTTGTGGACGTATGGAGCAGTATGGGTTCAAACTGCAGAGAGAGGGTGTTTTTCTGTGAGAAATGATGTATATCCTGCAACAACAAGAAATAAGTCCAAGTCATTCCTCTCAGGCAGGAGGAGGACATCAGTAAACAAAATGTAGCAAGACTCCCAGAAACTTCTCAGCAGCTGTGTCTATAACAGCAGAAAGGGGGTGCTGGCTACCTCCACATAAACAGGGTGTTCACGCGAGGGAGCGAGTTTACATGACAAGCAAAAGAAAATAGAAAGAAAATAGACACAAAGGCCTCTGCATGTGCTTCTGGGAATCCCAAGCAAAAGGCACACTTGTAATTTCAAATTATTTATGTACAAGCTTCAGCAATTACCTGTATCCAAATAAGGCTGTTTCCTGAATGCAACACATACATATTTACTGCAGATTCATCTGTCCAAAAGAATCAGGGCAAAGAGGTTAAAACAAAGAGCCACAGACTCTCCACACTCAACACAGTAAAATGCATTATACATTCCTAAAAGGACAAAAAAAAAAAAAAAAAAAAAAAATGGTACTAAACACTGAAACTGAACAGAAGAGCCATTTTCTCTGGCACTTTCTGGGGTGCGTGCACAAGAGAGTCCCATCATGGAGATCAAAGCTAGAGCTTCATGCACATGGGATGGGTCTTTTAAGTCATCGGAAGAGAGAGCCTTATCAAAATAAAAACAAACAAACAAACAACCTGCCTGAACATGTAGGTTCTCACACTGAACATGCAGGCTGAAACTGACACACTATGCTCTACCTGAATGACAGTAACCAACTACACAGCTTTAAGCAAAGTATGCTTTCCAGTTACCTGGACAGCCATGTTTCCTCATTTAAACCAACACTTGGGAGGAATTGAATTCTAGCATCCCAGAGGGCAGGCTCCCTTTATCTATCATCCAAGTGTGTTCCCTACTGGACGGGGGTCTTCTCAGCATGGGTGCCCACCTGCCCATTACCCAAACCAACAAACTACAAGCTGGGGGGTGGGGTGGAGAGTTCTGTACACTGCTACTGCATCCTAGTCTAAAGACTGGAAGGTAAATGATGTTTGTTCAACAGTTAAAGCTGTAGAACTCAGTGGTGCATGTGGGAAGCTATAGGCTCAGTCCCCAGCATGAGACTGGTGGTGGGGAAGAAGGCAGGACATGGCACTGCTGACTGCCAATAAATGACTATGCTTTTCATATCATCTGTGTTGTTTCTTTCTATGAGTAATAAATACACACACACACACATACACACACACACACACACACACACCAACAGTTGTTAGAACCAATATATAACAGCAAATCCCATATTATGAATTTCATGAGTTATATAGAATGTATCTCCTGAAAGTGTTCTTCAAAAGGCTGTTTCTAGTAAGAAGGACGCATGTTTTCAAAGAGGAATTCGCCTCCAAGTTGTCAAACGTCCAGAAACAACCAGGTATCAGCTACTAAGAACATGAAACAGCATGATCTGGTCAACAGAGATTCTGCAACTCTGACCACTGTAGTGAGACTCAGGACTTCAAACCCTTTGGAAATGTTTATTTATAGGCAGTCATGCCCATGTCATTTGCTTGCTATCTGCATACTGCCAAGAAAAAACCCCAAAGAGACTCCAAACAGCTTATAGTGGTCACCAAACTTCCCTGAACTAACACAGCCTGAGTAGCTGCAGACCAAGAACCAGATCCTGTTGCAATCTACCTCAATAATGATGTAGAGAAACCTAGACTTGCTGCAAGAAAAGGGGTTTAAGCTTTTGTTTTTGGAAAAGCTAGACAGAGACAGGTCAGGAGTCAGAGCTATAGCCCCACAACAGAAACTGTAGAGACCCCCACCTTACCTGTGGTCTCAGACTCAGCAGTAACTACATAAACAATAGAGAGGTGATCTAACAGGGCTTGAGTGTTCTCTTCAGGTTGCCTTGAGGAGTTTTCCACAGCTACAATTATGCTCATCTCCAAGGGTAAAGCATCACCAGGCCCCAGATAGCAACCCTGAAATGGAAGGTGTGGGGAAACAAGAAAATTCAGAAACAAACAAACAAACAAAAAAATCATCTGAACTTTGAGACTGCATATCTTTGAAAAGGAGGAATACTTAAGGCAATAGCATGTTTATGGTGAGAATGAACCAGCATTTTAATTTTGAGTTTTAAGAGGCAGGAAAGAAAACAGGGAGATCTGCTAAGTACTGTTTTACCTTTAATTGCTGACATACTTTATTGTGTAAACTGCACTCCAGTTGTACCCGAAGGAGGGTAGTATTAGTGGTTTCTGCCTAAAAGAAAAAGAGGCAAAAGAACTTAAAAGAGGAGGCTAAAAGCATAATCTGGCCTTAGCAGTAACAAAAAATTCTGAGTAGCTGCTAAATGCTGCATGTTGTTTTGTACTAGAAATATATTCTGCTATCACAAGCTTACACTCAAAAGGGAAGTAATAACTGAAAGTTCCTAGTAATGCAGGAAGCAGGTACAGATGACCCAAGCATGCACACAAATAGAATAATATCTGGGATATGTTTAACACTGGGTTCACACAAAGATGTATACTTTTATTTTAAAGTAGGTTTGCTCAGTAATAACATAGTTATCATTTTTTGCTTGTTTTATTTTAAGGTGTGTGTGTGTGTGTGTGTGTGCTCATGCCTTATGCCTAAGGAGGCCAGAAGAGGACATTAAATTTTTTGGAGCTGGAGTTACAGGTAGTTGTGAGTCTCACTATATGGTGCTAGGAATCAAACTGAGGTTCTCTGCAAGAGCAACAAGTGTTCTTAGCCATCAAGCCATGCTTGTTTGGTTTTGAAACAAATTCTCACAGCATAGTCCTGGTTGTCCATGAATTTATGATTTTCCTGCCTCAATGTCTTGAATGCTAAGGTTCTGAATATGTACTACTATACACAATCAATCTGCTGGGGGATTTTTGTTTGTTTTTCCACTAGAAGCATGACCCTGGAGTCTGACGGAAACCTCAAAAATAGAAGTCCAAATGTCAACTGCCTGACATTTTTAAGACATGAAAGAGCTATGGATGGAAGACAAAAGAGAATACAAGACTCTGTCAAGTTCAAAGATCTCAACCATTCTTGACAGGAGACAAAGCTGTCCAGGTGGAGGGATGGATCTACAGACAGGAGAAGAGGCAGGGAAATTAGTGAGTATAGCATGTAAATCTCAGGAACTTGGCCTATGAGCGGTTCTTTTGCATGATGTCTCTATCGTAGTCACTATAAAAGGAACATATTCAGCCCAGGAGCCAGAGTCTGAGTATTGGGAAAGCTCAGCAAAGAAAGAAGGCTTGCTTAATTATGTGTGAGCATCTGATTCCAGGTGGGGCCACTGTTAAGTAGAATCACAGCAGCACATTTGATTTGTTAGTATAAGCCTTGCTAGAGTACATCACAGAAGAATACATTATATGGGCCAGGGTGTAGCTTTTTCGGTATCTGTGAAGGCTTGGGTTCATTGGTTCATTCTTCAATATTAAAAAGAATTACTTTAGTTCTCATTCATGCAATTAAAGTACAGAAAAAGTTAATAAATTATATTACGTTTTTAAATACAGTACAAAATGTTCAAGATGTACTCTGTGAGCATGTAAATGAGACTTATAAAATTACTGCTGGGAACTAATATTCTACACTGTCTAAAACAGAACAATAATGTGAGGGCAGCCTCCTTGTCACATCTGCCCCACTGATCTTCAAGGACTACTGTGATCTCGCTGGCTAAGGAGTGGCTTCTTCCTCCCTCCGTGTGTGCTCCTCCTAAAGCTGTACAGGCTGTATAGACATGGACCATTTCTCAATCAAGATGTGGGCCACAAAGAGCAGGATTGCTCTTCAGTCACGGGCATAGAGTCTCCATGCTCCCATTAGAACCTCAACACAACCTCTCAAAGTAAAAGTATGAACAAACCCCTCCACCAAAGACAGACGCCAAAGTGAAGGGCAGTCATGAGTAATGGCCACACACTCTTCTTTTTCTTGCTTCCGTGCCCCGTCCATCAGACATGGTTGATCTGGTTTCTTGTGCTTTCCCACCCCTATCTCCCAAGGGAGCTCTCCAACAAGCTGGGCCTTCAGCATGTATTTCTGTAGTGCAGGCCTTGGTGCACATGGAGGTCCCGAACTCACTCATCTCCTTAGCACCACTGTCTATCAGCTCTGCCATTAGTCACACAGCTGTTTAAGTCAAAACCCAAGACACCAACTTCAGTTGACTGCCTCATCCCTCTAGTAAAGGATCTCAAGAGTCAGTTACACTGCCCCCTCAATCCCCCTTAAACCTGTGCACGTGTCTCCACCCTAACACAGTGGAGGTCCAGGATGGCAAACTGTGCCCCCCTCCAGCCTAACTCCAGTCTTCTGTCCGTTTCTGTGAACAAGGCCTTCCTGGAGCATAGCTGTGTGCCTGGCTTTCGGCACTGTCTGCTCTGCACTACATCAGTGCTGAGTGCCTGCCATGCGGAGGACTAAGCCTAATCAGCTACACACGTCAGTAATCTAGAGAGAAATGCATGGTGCAGGAAGCTCCTCCCAGCACCCTTTCCACTCCACTCTCCACACTGCAAAGAACGAGCTCACATGGTGAGGCAGACATGGCAGGCACTACCTACCACCCAAGCATGTGGAGGTAGAGTCAAGAAGACTAAAGTTCAAGGCCAGCCAGCCTGGGCTAAACTGTGTCTCAAAAACAAGCTAAACAGTTTGTTCTCTAAGTTGAGTTTATATGTACTCAACTCTGTCATGTGGTGACTTGCTTAAAACCCTGCAACGGCTTTCCAAGTGTCAAATCATTTCTTGAAATTACAAAGCCTATCTACCCTCTCACCTGTTCCCCCGCCCCCATGACCACACTCCGGCTTCACTGTTCTAGTCGGCATCCTTGAAATTGCTGTTCCTTTGCAGTGAACTCTAACCCTAGCCTGCCTAAGCCTGCCACTTACTAGCTAATCTACCCTTCATGCCCCAGCTTATATAACCCCAGAAGCGACATCTGAATAACCAGCTATCACTTACACATGGACACATGTTACCTAACTTTTTCTAACGTTCCTCACTTACACTGTAACAACTTGGTCAAAGTCTACCCATCCAGACCATAAGCACTCAATTCCATGCTTCTACCTAAGCACTTGATATATGGCTGGTAAACTAACAGAGGGTATGCAGTCACAGACGCCAAGGATCTGGGAAAGCATAAAATAGGCAATAGCCTAAAGGGAAGAAACAACACCTACAAAATAAAAGAATAAATCAAAACCTGATACTTGGTGTGCACTTTTGACCTGAAGATTTCAACTTTAATGGAAAAAACATATCAATATATTTTCAAAGTACACATTATAAAACAAGTTTTAAAAGAGTTTTCTTTCCTTTAACATTTCTCCAAATGGACAAATAATGTTAAGAGTTCAGAATGACAATATATACATGATTAAGGATTAAGAACACAGTGACCTGATATGATTTCAAAGCTAATGTTCTGTTATTCTTGGTAAATTTTTGCATAGGTTATTTTTATAATCTGCCAATTTAAGCAAGACTCGTGTACTTAGTAGAAGCATAACAAATAGAAACAACTACAGATTGAGTGTTTTCTATTCTAGGGGCTTGAAAGAGACATTTTTTTTATTTTGGAATATTTCCATATATATCATTAGCTTTTTTGAGGATGGGACTCATGTTTAAACACAAAATTCACTTACGTTTCATATACTTTATACATATGGTCTGGATGTAATTTTACACAGCACTTTTAAAGTAATTTTGCCAGTGAAAAAAATTTGTATACATTGAACTATCACGTTTGTGGTGTCCCATTGAGGCTCAAAATTTTTCAGATTTTAGAGCACTCTGGATTTTAGATTCTCTGATTTAGGGAGGGAGACTCAAACGGAACTGTTTTGATCTGTCATAGCTTGTATTTTAGAACCCCACAAGGGGGAGCTCAAGTCCATACTGCCTGTGACCTGAGTGGATTTGTCAAAGGGACACTTTCCCAAAAGAACAAAAATTTTGCAACCCTAACCTTAACAGAGAAACCAAACAAACAAAACAAGTCTCTATGTTTGAAACTTCCCATTTTTGTTTTAATAAATTAGTGCATAACAAATGCTAAATCTTTAAAAAAAAAAAAAAAAAAGAATATGGCAGTATTCCTTTATAGTCATGGGGAAAATATAGCTTATTAAGGATCCTGGAGCCAACTAGTGGGAAAATGTGAGGAATGTTCTTTATGCAAACCAGCAAGAAATCAGAATGAATGAATGAATAGAAATCAGAATCAGAAATAGAATGAATCTATTCTTCCTAGGTACATGAAAGATGAGACATAAGATTTTAAAAGCCATTCCAATATACAGCACTCAGGAAAGCAGAAACACTAAAACCACTTTATATAGAGCCCCATGGTTTTGTGGCAAAGGGATGATAAGGGACTGGGAACTGAGATCTGATGCCATCTCAGCTCACTTGCAAGATATTTTGGAGCAAGTGCGAAGTTCTCAGACAGGGTGAAATAAAATAGGAAACAAAGTGATAAAGCCCAAAGTCACTGACAACCTCTGCTGACAATGGCGAGCTATATGATAACAAAGTACACATGAACTGGGGCTACAGTCACCCAGGCCACATGAACAAGGCACTCGAAAAGAGATTTTCAAATGAAAGCTGCCCTGGAAAGCCGCAACTTTACAACCTATTCTTCTCACACTTTTCACAGCTTCAAATGCTCTTTTGTGCCAACACGACTATCAGTAGGAACACAAGTTCTGTACAAGCCATGGGACACTCGGTTGGCAGCCCAGATACATGAGGCTGTTACAACTGAGTGTGCAGAGCAACAGCCTTGCAGAAAATGAGCACTATCCCAGGCCCTGCCCCTTGCATACAACTCTCAGATCCTATAGCCAACAATCATTTAGTGTACGAGACAGGCTTAGCTGAATTGTTACAACATGCAGCATGGCTGTTTCTCCCTGACAGTAAACAGCAATTCTGTCTCAGCCCCACCATCAGCTGGCTCATACTCTCATTGCCAGACCCAATCACAACACATGCGCAAAAACCGAGAGCTGCCTGGAATTAGCTTTTGATTTGTTTTGTTCTAAAGAGGGTTAATCCACATCATTTCAAGGTCAGACTCCAGCCATCCTCTATGTTAAGACTCCACTCTGGGCAGAGACAGACACATGTGCAAACTACTAGAGAGGGAGGCGGCTTGCTTCTATTTGCTCATTCACAATTAATGTATTTCCTTAGTTTAACTCCACAAC